GTTCTGGGGACCTTTGAAGGCCACCAGCCTTAGGAAAGGCTCCTCAGAGCTGTTTACAGGGTACATACATGCTTTGGGGCTTGGCTCTAGCTGTTTCAGGTAGCCACAGTGGATGGATTCTGTTCTTCCCAGGAGAATGCTTGGGGGCAGTGAGGTGGGTGAAGCTTAATTTCTTACTTTGGCTTCAGGAGATTCAGGGTGGTTTTTGACATTGTTGTTGATTTTGTTTTTGCTTTTTTTTTTTTTTTTTAATTGATCTGTAGACCTCATGTTTTTGTAAAGATTTATTTTTCTTTGTGTGTATGAGTATTTGCCTGCATGTATTATATGTCCACAATGTGCATGCCTGGTGCATGCCTGGTGCCTGCAGAGGCCAGAACAGGGTGTCTGATCCCCTGGAACTGGAGTAATGGCTGTGAGCCACCATGTGGGCACTGGAAACCTAACCTGGGTCTTCTGTAATAGCAGCAAGTGATTTGAAGCACAGAGCCATCTCTCTAGCCCCAAAATGGAGGTTTTGTTTAGGGACTTTGATCAAGTGACTAGTAGGGTTTGGCCCCTATTTAGGGCTGCAGTGTCATCTGCTGTTACCACTGTGATGACTAAGACATAGCAGAGAACTTTCTGCTTTTCTCTGCCTGCCCATGGGCTCCTTGGTGCAGAATGGACAGGACTAGAGGCAAGAGAGTACAGCAGGAATGGTTTTCTCAAAAAGCCAGTGGGGGAGGGGGAAGGAGAGGGGGAGGGTGGGAAACTTGGACAGGCTTTCCCTCATCTTGGATCTCCATAACTCACAAGTCGTTTCCTGAAAACCCTACCACATGCCAGTGGTAAGAGACAGCTTCCTGCCATCATGCTGAGCCAGCCCCCTATCAGAGAGATGAGAGAAAGATGTAGTTAGAGAAGGGACAGCTGGACATTCAGCATCCATGTATGTGGTCTCCTCTCTAGGAAGATGACAGTAACTTGTACTGAGCACTGTGCCAGGGTCCTCCTGCCTGGACACATGGGCATATTCAGCTTTCTCATGGGGCCAGTGGAGAGTCTTTGAAAGCAGCGCTATACCCCCAATGGTAAAATTGTACAGATGGTGCTGAAACATGACCTCTTTGCTTCTAGAAGGAGGGACCTTCCTGACCTATATCCGTAGCCCTTGTAGGGGGAAGGGTTATTTAGATAGAAACAGCTCAATAGTTCTTGCTTATCTACCATCTTGCCCCTGCTCTGTGCTTAGCTCACCCTGCGGCTTTTCTCTGCAGGCTGTCACATCCAAGTGGGCATACTTGCCTTGATCACGACACATTATGTAACCTCAGGGCCACTATCATCAGCATCAGCATCAGCATCAGCATCACTTTTGACATACAAGTTCCAGGCAATGGTTTGGGTTTATCTTTCCATCTCAGAGACTCAGAGCAAGGAATGGCTTAAAGAATCTGGCTCACAGATGTGGGGTTGAAATACTGCTCCAGCATCCTTGTGGTCACTTACAGTTTCCTGGCCCCTTGTTTACAAAGCAGAGCGATAGGAATCCCTACCTCTCAGGTGTGCTGTGAAGGTGCAAAACCAGCATACACTAGTGGTTAAGTGGGTGGGTAGTAAACTAGTCTGTTTGCATCGTTCCAGGATGTGGTGGAGGCAGGAAGGAGAGGGGACTGGGACTGTCAGACATGTATATACATTTTTGGAGTTTGTTCAGAAACTTGTGGTTTAGGGTGTTGGTTCTAGGCTTGTTCTTATATCAGGATTACCTGGTGGGAGGGTTGTTAAGACAGAATGCTAGGCTGCAGCCTCAGTTTCTTTTTGACACAGTACGTTTGGCTGTGACCCCACACCTTGCATATTGTGTGTGGTGTACACTTGGGTGCCTGTTCATGAGTGGCCAGAGGGCAGATGTCTCTCTCCATTGCTTTCCACCTTATTTTTTGAGACAGGATCTCTCACCCAGTCTGTAGCTCACCGATTTCTGTTAGATTGGCTGGCCCGCAAGTCCCAGGAATCCTCCTGTCTCTGCCTTCCCAGTACTGGGTTTAACACATATGGACTGCCATGTTGGGCTGTTTTCACTTGATTTCTGGGAATCAGGTCCTCACCCTTATGCAGGGAGCCTGTTAGCTCCTGAGCCATCTCCCCTGCTTCTAACTTGAGTTTTTAAATAGACTTCATTTAGAAATGGTGGTTAGGTAGCAGGCTGTGCCCTCCAGATTTGGACTCTATGAACAGGATGAAGCCAGTGGGTGATGGATACATCGAGCTCATTTTTAACTCAGGGTGAGAACTTTACCTACGGGAGGTCATATGGTCAGAACTGGAATGGGTGGTTTCAGGAGCTCCTGATCTCTGGAAGTTTCTCTTGTTGAATGGCTATCTGGTAGCTTCTTATACTAGGTAGGAGGGTCATTGGTTCATTAATTCACTAATTCACTCATCCACTTACTCAGGATAAATGTGCATTGCCTGCTTTTGGAGCTAGTCAGAGCTTTTAAAGACATCATTGGTCCCTGCTCTAAAGGGAGTATGTAGTCGAGAGAGAAATCTATTTGATTTTTCTAAGGTACTTTAAATGCTGAGGCTCCAAGAGTCTAATGCTGATGAGGACAAACTCCCCAAATAAGCCACAGAAAAGCTGTCTCCTGATCAGTATGGCTGAGAGCCGGTATGTATGTAGATATCTCATAGGCTTGCTTGGAATTACTCTCTTTGGCTCATCCCCCACCCTAACTCCTTTTGGCTCATTTTATTGTTGCTGGATAAGTGATTCCCCCCCCCATGTTAAGACTTAGAATAAGTTTAGAGTGTATTCACCTCGAGTGCATTTCCTGTGGGAAAATTTACATCTTTTCACTGGCACCTAGGATATGCCATTAACCTCTGAACTTCTGACCAGCCATCCATTATGCAGTCTATGAAAACAACCCAGGAAATGGAGCATAGGAATGGGCTAATTGCTTTTCATCTTCTCTCTTAAGTGATATATGGAGTGAATTAATAGCTGAGGAGAGTTAGAGAGAGACACAGGAAAATCCATTCATTTTTCTGGGTTCTTTCATCATAAGTCTTGTTAAAAGCAATGGTGAGGAGCTAGGGAATGTGGCTCAGTGGCTGAGAATACTCGCCTGGCACTCAGTGGTGGGCTCAATCCTTAGCACCTATGAAATAGGGCATGTTGTCACTCATCTGCATCTATAATCCCAGCATTTGGGAGGCTCAAATTCAGGACTCATCTTAGGCTACATAATGAGTTCAAGGTCAGCTTGGGCTACATGAGACCATGATACCACAAGTTAGAATAAAATAAAAGCAATGATGATGACCATTAATTTCTAGCCATCTCTACTCTCTCATGCTTGGTGTTCAGCTCGCTACATGTATCATTACATGGTTTGATTTGGGAGGTGTATTGCCCTCATTCACTGGACGAGCAAACTGAGGAAAGGGAAGGTAACCAGCTAGTGGCTGTAGAGTCAGCAATAGTCAAAGCTGGAATCAAGGCCTTTCAGATCCCAGCCCATGGCATGATGAGCTACTCAGTAATTTTGTTCATAGTTAACTATATCTTCAGTTTAGTAAACTTGCAAGTGCTGGAAGACACAAGCAGGCATAACTGTGGGGCCTCCATCCTTGTGTGACTTACTATTGACTTCCCTCTGACCCATGAATCTCTGGATCCTCTGGATGCTACATGAGCCAGCTGGATTTTGTGTTTTCCTGGTTTGACACATCCCTCTTGGGTTTCTCTGCTTCTTAAGACTGAATGCCAATTCTTGAGCCATCTGCCTTCTGACTGCATCCTGGGGTGGGAAGAGTCCAGCCTCAAACTTTGGAGCCATATTCCTTCCTCTGGGAAAAGTCACCTCTTCCAAAATCTAGTGTCCCTTTAGATTCCGTTGACTGTTCTTTCTGGCCTCAGCCTGTGTTTTCCTCTAAAAGGAGTTTTGAATAAGTTTCCTGTTTTCAAAACATTTGTTAAGTATTTCTTTTTCAATTGCAGCAATATGTAACTTGCCTTGTGAACATCTGCTTTCCCCTGAGATAGTCACCAATGGCCTTGCCAGTTGTTTTTAGTACATTAATTTGGGGTACATTTAGGGGACTTGGGAATATATATAGTTCTGAGATGCTCTGTGACTTTTTAGATTTTCTACATTCATATATAAATATGCATTTCTTTCTGTCACACTTGAATTTCTGATATTTTATTCCCTTAGGAATCAGAAATCACTTTGCTTCCTGACCTTGACCTTTTGGGGGATCATTTCTGTTAATTAAAACATAGGTTTGATTCTTTTACTTTTCATTTGACTTGGAGAGAAATTCTAGGAAGCCTGTCCTATATCTCTTTTGGTGAGGGATCCTTAACTTTAGCTTCAAAGGGTCTATGGCAAGAGAGGAAAACTCTTTCCTCTTTTCCACATTTGGAAAAGAAAAAGGGAATTTGTTGGAGACCTGACCCTCCAAAGGGATAAGCAATGGCATCCGAAGCTCCATGGGATATGAATATTCCTGTCATCTGTTCAGACCGTGTGGTTTCACTCCATTGGCTTTGCCTGAAACATAGACCAGGGCCAGGTAGGACACCTTTCTTGACAGCTCCACCAAACGCATTTAGTAGAGGTTAGTCTCATGAAGAAAAAGCGAGGCACCCATGCTAAAAGTTGTCCTGTACAATATTGGAAGGATCAATTGAATTTCACAACAGGGTCCCCTGACTGGGGTATTGTGGATGTGTTTGCATGTACATTTTCTCAGGACCCAGAAAAACAAATCAAGATAGTTGGTTTAGTATTGTCTACTCCATCTGGCCGGAGTGATGATCTCTGAATATAAAATCAATGACACATTTCCTCCTGGTTTTCTTGTTCCTTGGTTCCTTAATGGCCACCCAGTTTCTTGTAGTTGGGGCAGCCTTTCCTGGTTCAGTTAAAGTCACTGATAAAATCACCAGGAAGATGGAATCTGTCAATAAAGATGCAAATGTCTGCTCTTTTTGTTTTTTTCAGGAACCTTTTTGCTCCAGCCTACACAGAAACCTGCTATACTGCAAGTGGCCACCCTCAAACCACCACACTGAAGTCTGAGGTGAGTCAGGTAGATTCGAGTCCATCACTGCTGCCTTGGCTGGGTACTGCTCTTAGAGGTGGAGGAAATAAGTGATTGAGGTGGTCCCTTCTCTGAAGGGCTTATTCCCCTTACTGAAGACTTACGGCGCAACCAGAAACAAAGTCTCTTGGCTCCTATTTGTTCCCTGTCCTTTGTTGGCAAAAATGGTAAAGCAAACAGATGGAATCTTTGAGGATAACTCCCTTGATTAAAATCCATATAAATCATTATGAAGTATACATATTATTAGGCCTATGTTAACTAAGCACATATTAAGAATCTTTAAAAAGAATAATTTACTCATTGTCCTGTCATCTTACCCAATTTGATGCTAATTAATGTTTTTTAAAAAATGTAAGGTTTGCAGAGTTTTCATCACTGTGCATAGAAATTTACATTAACATCATACCATTTTAATGCAGTTGTAAACCATCGAGTCTTTTTTGACATGGAGTCTATTTAGAGGCTGACTTCCACCTCATAAATCTTCTCCCTCTGCCTCCTTAGTTCTGGAATTAAAGGCATGCACCACCATTCCCTGCTCTATTAAGCCTTTTAAAATGTTGCTGTTGCCTTAATATTGGACATTCCCCCTTCAGAGTTGTTTTTAGTAGAAAATTTTTGCACATTGTCAAAGAGTCATCATTTTGAAAATGGTTTTACAGTTTAATTTATTTCACCATACCCTACTGGTGGATATATTTAAGATAGTAAATTCTACCTGCCGTATGATTTGTTGGCTCTTTCTTGATGATTTCTGTTAGGATTCAGCGTCCCAGAGCAGTGGATCTCATGCAGGAGTGATTCTTTTTACCCCTACAAGGCACATTTACACACACATGCTGAGTTTTGGATGTTGTTAGCATCTTATGGGCAGAGGCCCTAGGAGGCTGTGAAGCATCCTTCTGGACACAGAGCCAAGCCTCACAATAGATTCATCCAACCATAGTCCAACCAGTAGTGCCTCAGTGGAGAAGCGCTGGTCCAGACCAATGCTTCTGAGCCTGGGCTCATGGAATATGATGGGAAGGGGAAGAGCACGAACTCCACTGAGCTTTTGTGTTGGAACTTCTGAGGTAAGAAAGCTGATGTATGACATCGAGAACAGGAGAGGTTCCTCTGCTCTGCATCCATTCTGTTAGGTTCTTCTAACAGTTTCTGTAGAAATAGATTCCTGTGTAACTCGTTCCTCAAAATTCTCTGCCGGTGTGCAGATGTCTAACAAGATACCACTGTCAGTTACTAGCAGGTGAGCTTAGTTTATCAAACTCCCTGCAATGGGGAAGGATGGACCCCTTAAGTTTAGACCCCATCTAAAAGGTCTATGTAGAGAAGCTGGATAGCTGGAGGGGGATGTGAAGGTCAGTGGGACTTCTTCCCAAGACTTTTCCTGGGTGGGAAAGAAGTTGAAAGTGTCGCCAATGACAGCAGCAGGCAGACTGGGCTGTATCAGGGAGACTGTCCAGCTGTGACCCACACCTCCTCAAAGCCCCTTGGTCCAAGCTTTTCCCTTCTTCAGACTTCTGTTCTCTGCTTCTTGGACTAGGAATGGGCCAGAGATTGGGCAAGTGCCATATGGAGAAAGCCCATTGCCTTTACAGTTTCACAAAAACACCCTCCTCTGAGTTCAGCCCCTCCTATTTCCATACCCACAACTCAAGAATGGGTCTCAGTGCACAAGTTTGCTATGAGCTCATGCTTCCTGCTGTGAAAGCCCCCTGGGGTGGCCCCCTCTGCCCGAGGAGCTGCGGAATGCAATGACTTCACAGCTGATCTGACTTGCTCTTTGTGCTCTCTTAGCTGTGCACCAAGCAGAGATATGTTAAGGGTCTTTCAGAGAAGAACGGTGGGAGAGCATGTCCCCTGGTCCCCTGAGTCCCCCTTCTTCCTGACTGCCTTGCTGGCTGAAGCCCATCCTTGCTGAACCGTGGGCCAAGATCACTGTTTTCTTCCATCCACCACTGCTGGATTCTTGCAAAGTCCCCACCCAGGCCCAGGGGGCTCCCAGTGAGCCTTCCCATTTGAAAACTAAGGAGAAATGGAGGTGGAATAAACCGTAGCTACTTTTGGCCTAAATGTAGAGGACTGTATGCTGCTTTCAAACTTAACAGGCATTCTGGGAATCTTATCAAGACTCATTAGCCAGCCCTGTAGGTTACAGCCCCACTCTAGGTCAGGTTACTGGGGGAACAGGTCTGGGGATATGTTCCAACAGCAAGACTTACAGGGGTTGGGATCTGAAGCCAGGGCTGTGGTCTTGGCTTTCACTAGCTTTGTGGCCTTAATCAACCCTTTGGACCATACTGAGTTCTTTTGTTTCTTTTTGTTTTGTTTTGTTTTGTTTTTTCAATCTCAAAAATTAGTTTTGCTAGTTACTGACTTGGTGCTATGGAAGGGTAAGATGAGACCCTGATTTTGATGGAAATATCTAAGTATCATTTCTAACCCCATATTTTACAGCCGAGGGAACTGAGAGAGGGTAAGTTACTTGGCTATGCTTAAAAGTGGCAAGACCCAGACTAGATAGAGCATGTCTGCTTAGTTGTTGGACAGTAGAAGAACTTTGGAAAGAGAATCCAGCCAGGTGCTGATTCTGCCTCAGTTGGGAATGGTAGAGGACTGAGTTCAGGGCCAAATTGAGGGGTTCAGTTTTCCACATCACTGTGTCACTAAAGCTCTTTACAGCTATCTGATCTTAGCGAAAAAGCTGAGGTCCCGCAAACTAAGCTTTAGTTTCCCCTTTAGACTTTCGGGAATGTCATCTGCCTCATAAACTTTGGTCAGAATTGAAGTACTAATTACTAACTGTTGTCAGGTAGTAGGAGCCTACTGGCTATTAGCCCTTGCAGTTACTGAGAGTAAGTGACAGGTGACCTGGTCACATGTGTTCATTTCCTCTGTAAATTATAGAGCATGTGACAGCTGTAGAACGTGCCATTGCAGAGAGCACAGGGGAGTGTGCACACTGCAGCCATCAGCCAGAGAGCCAAAGAGGTCTAATTCTTCATTAGCTACTTCTAGATGGTAGTTCTCCCTACTTGTGAAAGAATCAGCATTTTGAAACAGTGTTCCATATTCATTCCGAATGCTTGACTGTTAGTCAGCCCATTGTCCATGAGCCCTGCTTTCCCTGTGAAGACCGGGCCCCACCTCCCAGGGAGAACTGGCTGTTCTTCTCATTGTCAGTACTCTTACATGTTGGGTTTGTGACCTCCCTATTGAGTTCCAAGGACCAGGTCCCGAACTTGATTGTTGCAGATCTGCCTCCAGTTCCCCTGTCCCAGGGACAGATGGAGAAGCTACATGACAGCTACAAGGCAGTGGAACACTTGGCAAGAAGTCAGACTATGCACATGTGTGTACATTGCCTGCCCTCCTAGGTGCTGGGGGGACAACAAACAAAGGAAAACCCCAAATGCAGTGGTTTTCCCTTTTGCTCACATAAAGGTCATCTGACTTGCTTAGAGTTCAGCAGACTTTGATGCCAAGAAGAGGCTGCTTGCTGTCCCTCCTGGCTGTGTGTCAGTATGGATGGGTAGATGACCCGTGCTGCTAGCCAATGGACCATTGGGGACAGGGTACCTGCAATCCAGAGAAGGAGCCTAAGATGAGTATGGGTTTGGCTTGTGCTTCCTGACATAGCTGTATGACTCAGATGAATAGGTTGTAGAATAGAAATATAAAGGTTGTGAATTTGGGTCAGCCCTTTTGGTGACCTATTGGGTCCCCTGAGGCTATGTTTTATCTTTAATGAAATAATGAAAATAAGGCTACTCATTTGCTGTCTATCCCTGGGCTAGGGAGAAGTCCAGCTGCCTTCTTTGTAGAGAGGTCTCTCATGGCCTGAGTCTCTGAGGTTGGAGGCTAAAGCTCTGGAAGGTCAGAGAAATCATTTCCATTGCTGGCACATATGGGAGCCTGGATTGAAGACTTGCTTGGCTGTGGCAAAGTGCTTTCATTTAATTATGGGGCACTACTCAGAAGTAGAGGTGGGAGGGGAGTGAACCCAGATATGTGGGTTTGCCTTCTGGATTCCCCCCACCTACACACACAAGGAAACAACTGCAAATAGCATAGTCTGGAGATGGGACCCTTAGGTGGTCTGTCATGTGGGGATAGCCTGAGAATTTGTGATTGCTGCTTAGTCTCAGGGTATCAGGGAGGCCTTTTAAGAAACTGATGCTATACCCAGTTTCACCTGTGTTCTGGCTGACACATCAGGTCTGACCTCTTTGGGAAGAGTGTTTAATCCCTATTGCCAACCATATGTTTTGGGGAGAGGGACAGTTTGGCATAGCACATAGGTACTCTCAGAAGTGCTGTTTCCTGATTGCTATGAGGGCCTAGAGGGCAAACCCTTCTCTGGAACACAAACTTTTATTTGTAGCTGTGTGTCTTTGACCTCTGCATCAGTTACTTTTTATTACTGGGATAAAACTCCATGACTAGAAGCAGCTTACAGAAGGGAGAGTTCATGTGCTTTTAAGGTTCCAGAGGGGTATTCCATAGTGGTGGGAGAGACAGGACAGCAGGCAGCCAGAGGAGGAAGCTGAGAGATCACATCTTCAGCCACAAACATAAAGCAGAGAGCAAACTAGAGGTGGGTGAGGCTATGAACTTTCAAATCCTGTCCTCCAATGATGCACTTCCTCCATCAAGGGTGTACGACCCACCCAGGTAGTATCATCAAGTGTTCAGATGCTTGAGTTGGGGAGGCACAACAGCTTCCTAAGTATTAATGACTATAAACTCCAGGGACTGGAGCTGTGTGTCCATTTTCTCACTGCATCTCTGAAGCCTTCCCCAGGGCCTGCATATAAAAATGGAGATGTTTATAAAGATGCAGAGCTCTAGCTGGATTTGGGAGACCAGATGCCTGCAAGGCATCATGACTAGAGGATAGATAGCATCCGGCTTCATGGAGCTAGGTACCAAGGAAGGAGGGTCCAGGTGTGGAGGGATTCAGGGGAGGAAGAACATCCTGAGCTGTGTTCATATCTTGAGGCTACCCTAACAAAGCATTGTGAACCTGGAGGCTAAAACAAGAGAAATTGATTCTCTCTCTCTGTTTTGGAGGCTAACAGTCCAAAAGGGTTGTTGGAAGAGCTGTGCTCCCTGTAAGGTCTCCAGGGAAGACTCCTCCCTTCCTTTTCTAATTCCTTAGTACTCCTGGCTTGTGTTACATCACCAGTCTTTTCCTCTGTCTTCATGTGGCTTCTCTTATATCTTTTGTGTCCTCTCATCCAGTCAGTAGATGAGGCATTAGATTTATGACTTAGTCTAATCCATTGTGACCGTATCTTAATTTAATGACATCAAAACCCTATTTACAAATGAAGTCATATTCCCCGCTTCTGGGTGGACGTAAGAATTTTAGGAGGACGCTATTTAACCCACGACAGTGAGTTACAGAGGCAGCATCAATGAGAACTGGCTCTTTCAGAAGATTGCTTTCTAAGGTTGACATGTCAGACCTGAAACTGGGTTCTCCAACTTAGTGTAAGCCACAACATCCTTGTCTGTTCTGTAGGAGTGGTGACATCTGCCCTGCACCATCTCTTGTGTTATTAAAGAACCAAACAGAGAGATAGCTTGGGAACTTTTAGCAGGTTATAAGATGCTGCAAGGTCAGGCTTGATGAGGAGCTAACCTGTCATCTGCCCCTCATAAGACATTAACATGGTCATGTTTATTGGTTCCATTTGACATGAGCACTTTCTGTTTGCCAGGATCACTGCTTTTACCATGGAACTGTGAGAAAAGTGGAAGAGTCCAGTGTCACACTCAGCACCTGCCGGGGAATTAGGTAAGAGCCCCTGAAGCTGCTGGGGATGACTGATACAATCCCTAGGAAGATGTGCAGGGCTAACCCAAGGCAAGGGTTATGTATACTCTGACAGGGGCCAAGCTTGTGAGATGTCATGGAAGTCCCAGATAATCCACACAGATGCTGGGTTTGGGTTTACCTTTCAGGATGAATTTGATGTGCTAAGATCTGAGTTCTGTTATTTAGGAATGGTAAGGCTAACTAATCAAGAGACAACCATGACTGGAAGATTAGCATCAATAAAGAGCTGTCTGTCAGATGTAACTGCCAGGCAGTGAGTCATGGTAGAAAGAGGCATGGTGATCCACAAGGGGCAGTGTGGGAAATCACAGAGCTGTGAAGAAGAGATAGGAAGCAGGGGACATGTGGGTTAGTGCAGGGAAGGAATGGATGAGGTTGGTGAGCAGGTTGAGGAGTGGGTAGTATGAGTAACTTCAGTGAGCTCTGAGACATGGGGGTCCATGAAGTCATTTGGTACCCATTTCCCCATGGGTAGGTGGACAGTGATCCAGAAGGTGAGAAAGCAAAACAGTTGGTAGCTGGACCCTGTGCTTTTGGTTGGCTTGTATTGAAAGGCACTGTAGCTGGCAAAATGTTTCTCTAGGTCGTGGGTAACTACGAGGGGCTCATCCTGCCAGGGTCAGTGAGATCCTAGAAATGAAAGCTGGGACAGAGAAAACAAGTGACATGTCAGTAGACTCCAAGCTCTTTCAGCATCCCTTCCACACCTTTACTCTATATAGGACTGTCAGACTGTGCAGCAGGAAATGAGATGTACTGAGAGAGGAGAGCATAACTTTTGAGACAGAAAATCAACCAGAGAGTTCCAACTAGATGATGCTTGGAGAAGGGTGACCCTTCTGTCCCTAAACCAAACTACCTGGGTTTACGCCAGGAGCAGCACATTTCTGGTGGGAGGTAGGAGAAGGCATCAGATCCTGTAAATGGTAGAGCCACCATGTGGATGCTGGGAACCAAACCTGGGTCTTCTGCAAGTGCATCAAGTGCTCCCAACTGCTGAGCCCCGTGCTATGTCTTTACTTACTTATTTGAAAAATCTAAGCTCTTATCAACACAAATTACCTGAGTTTTTGGTTCCCATACTTCATGGTTCTTGAGTTCAGGGTGCTGACTAACTCTAGGAATAACGGCAAGAGTCCTTTATATGCTGGGGACAAGATCTCACTGCTGTTAATGACAAACTACCCACTCTGTTATCAAAGGCAGAATTGAGAATGCAGGTCCATTGTTGGATCTCATGAGCTGGTAGGAGGTGTTTCTCCCCCCCCCCCCCATTATTTTTTAATTCAGTGGTTGCTGCTTCTGTCATTTGTTAATGCATGCCAATGTCCTACACTGATGGATAGCAAGCATTCTAATTTTTGTATCCTCGGGGCACCAACAATAGGTATGGTGGAGACTAAGTGTTTCATTCATTCTGTAGCACTTTAGTAGCATACAAGATTTGTTCCAAGACTTAGCCAGCCTGGCCCCCAAATACAACCGAGGAACCTCCTGATTTCAGTTCTTATGTCTGTTTATGAGTTGGTTCACATCCCTCAAAGGTTGTGGAGAGTTGCCTGAAGGAATTAGGCAGGAAATCGGTTTTGGCTGGGATGTGATTAACAGTATAGCCTCATATCCTCCACTCAAGTGGCCTCCTCCAGCCAAGCCAACTGGCTCCTCAGTGGTGTTTATAGGACCAGACACTGCCACCTGCAGCCAGCAAGTAAACAAAGGCTGTCCCAGGAAGGAGGAAAGGGAACCAGCAGGTGTGACCTGCTCTCTGCCTCTTCCTTCTGGGTCTGGAGCAGTGGGAACACACTTGGCTGGGCTCTTGTAAATAATTCCAGCAGTCAGGCTGATGGGGACGTTCACCAAGCTGCCCATGTGTTTCTGTTTTGCATGCTTCCATCTGGTGGGGTCCACATGCCTTTCTTTCCCAGCCTCTCCTCCCTCCACATGCTAACAAAATGAAGTTGTGGCCAGGCTGAATCAAGAGCTGGAAACTTGCAAGACGGCTGGCTACATTGTGTCCCTGGAGCAGAGGCAGGAATGACAGCAGTGTTCAAACCCAAATAGCTTCCCAAGGCCCTAGAAGCCTGATATTTCCATGGAAAGTCTCCATGGCAACCATTCATCTCTCCTAGTGATGTACTCTTGTGCTTGAAGAAAAATGGATAGGATGTCTGCTAGGCAGGATCTTCAGGCTGAACTTGAAAGGAGTCAATAGAGCTTCTAGACCGATGGTTCTCTACCTTCCTAATGCTGTGACCCTTTGATACAATTCCTCATGCTGTGTTGACCCCCCCAACCATGAAATTATTTTCTTTGTTACTTTATAACTGTAATTTTGTTACTGTTATGAATCGTAATGTAAATACCTGATATGGGACTCCTATGTGTAACCCCAAAGGGATCAAGACCTACAGGTTGAGAAACACTGCTGTAGGTGGTTACCAGGGTCTCCAGAGTACTCTGTCAGTCAGTTTATCATTAAAGAAATAACACACAATCACCGTAAAACAAACAAATGTTAAGGAACATTTAAGGGTACAATGCAGGACAGCACTCTTTCTCACCCCACTTTCCCAATTTTACCTCATAATTTACCTCATACATTACCAGTTTCTTTTCTTTTCTTTTTCTGTTTTTTTTTTTTTTTTCCTTCTTCTTTTTGGTTTTTTAAGACAGGGTTTTTCTGAGTAGCCTTGGCTGACCTGGAACTAGCTCTGTAGACCAGGCTGACCTCGAACTCAGAGATCTGCCTGCCTCTGTCTCCTGAGTGCTGGGAGTTGGCATGAAGCCTGAGGCAGACTCCAGGTTGTTCATTCCAGAGCCATGGTTCTGGAATGAGCACTTCACCAGCCCCACCATCCACACCCTTCCCAAGCACTTACCTAACTATAGGACTGAATGAGGCCCAGGGGAAAGGACAATCTGGCCAAGGTGAAGACGAGGGCAACAATAAGTGTGGAGAACAGAGGCACGGGGATCACATCATCATGAAGTGTATAGTCGGAGTAAACCCAGGGCTCTAGAAGGGCAGTTCTGAAAGCATTCCAGTCCATGGTGTGCACACTTGGACACATTCTCCTGTACCCAACATCAGATTCTCTCCCTGGAGTGTAGGATGGGTGTCTAGGAGCCAGCCAGCCTGTCAAAGCAGACTTGCTGTGTGAGCCCCAGATGTTGGACGAGAGAACTGCTGTGACAGAATGCTGATCCATCAAGCGGCTCTGGGAGGATTGTTTATTGCTTATCACTGAGAGACTGTCTCTGTAATTTAATTCACCAGGCTTTAATACATAAGAGGTCAAGGACCCACTGAAGTAATTTGACAGATTGGTGTGCACCAAAGACTTAGTTACAATCAGCAAACACATCACAAAACTGAACTGTATGCATGGGATAGTCTCACGTGTACAACATGGACAATACATCTCAATTATGTATACCCCAACAGAGATCCAGAGGAGAAATGGGCTTGGGTGGAAGGATAAGAGGACAGAACTTTCACTAGATTTTAGTTTATATTCCTATATGGTTTGGATGTTGAACTCTAACCCTGTATTGATTGCATAATAATGATTTTCAGTGAGTATTATCTTACATTTTAAAAACAAACAAAAATACCTCACCAACAAGGACTAGAACACACACACAGGTTTAGTCAAGGATATTACAGCCCAGTACTGGCTTTTCCATAGATGATCACAGACCTTATGTCAGTCTGTTGGTAAAATGTGAAGATGCCTCTGCACAAGCAGGGCATTGTGGTAACATTTACAAGACAGGGTTTTAGTGTGAGGCAGGCTAGAGTGTATGTGTTGTTATTCTGTATGTGTAAGTGCGTGTGCCTGTGCGTGTGCGCATGCGCACACGTGCATACACACACACATGCATGTGTACATATAAGTGTGTGTGATTGTGGGAAGTGCTCTTGTTGAGGTCAGAGGATGACTTATGAAGCCAATTCTCTCCTTTCATCTTAACATGGGTTCCAAGGATGGAACCCAGTTACCTGTGTAGTCATTTTACTGGCTCCAGCTGGTGCCCATACACTCCCAAAGTCTCAGTTTTCTGCCTTGTAAAAAGGGAACAGTGATGTTGATATCATTGGTGGGTTCATATTAGGTGATCAGCCCCATCTCCTTGACAGCAAGCCCTTTGGTTGGATTGTGCTGTATCCCCAGGGGCTAGAACAGTCCTACCTCATGGTAGATGCCCTGTGTGGGTGTGTTGAACAGCTAGCTCCACAACAAAATGTTGTGTATCTCATTTGTCCTACCTGCTTCCATGCCTGCTAGCTTTCTTGGAGACTGCTCCCTGGTTGTCAGTAAGCACTGCCTGACTACGTTAGACTGTTAACACAGCTGCTTTGAGAGAGGGCTTGTGTCAGCAGACACAGGATTCTCATGCAGGATGTCTTTCCTTCCTGAACCTGTGTTCTCTGCTTGCACTCTGCCTCTGTCCCAGCAGGAACTCAGAGCCATGTGCCTCTCTTGCCTCTGTGCTGTCTTGGAAGTGCCTTGTGACCCATTAATGTGGGTGCAGGTTTCCAGAGTGCTAGGGACAAGGAATGCAAGGTTGCTACCTCTTAGGATGGCTCCCTCTGTGGGGATCATGGATGTGCAAATGTGTGTTTAATGGACAGCTCCCCATGGAGCAGCTCCTCTCTCATGTCTTGAAGGATGTATTTGAGTGAGTCCTTCAGTCATTTGTGGGTTAACCTCTTGCTTTCTGATTGACTGGCCTGTCTGGGTGCCTCTATGTGATCTAATTTTATGTATTTTTCTGATTCTCTTAATGATTAGGAGTAGGTTGGAGAGTAGCCACCTGGCCCTCTGCCTCCTGGGTTCCCTGTCCCCACTTCTGATCTCTGCCTCTGCCAGAGCTAACATTTAGCAAATTGAATCATTCGAAGCTCTTAGATTAAATGATGGCTGAGTGTGGGGGTTAGGGAGGAATCTAGGTGATGTGTGGGTTGGTGGCAGGCGAGAGCCCACAGAAGCTCATTCTCAGAAAGTCCCCATCAACAAAGCTGGGGTCCACTGTGAAGTGCTAGGCTCATGTCACCTCTTTACACATCTCTAAGTAATCCTACGGGAGGGTCCCTGCCTCTTGGGACTGGTGTAATTCTCCAATGGCTATAGTGGGGGGAGGAGAGAGGGAAGGGCTCACTGAGTCCTGTTGCTGGAAGGGATAACCTCAGTGCTTGTCCCAAGCTTGAGATTTTCAGACTGCCTACCTCTTGAGGCAACTGCTCAAGTGCCATGGAAACCCAGGCAAGTGCATGAGCTCCCAAATGAAGTCCTGAGTGTCACAGAGCATTGCCTGTGGGACTAAGTGCAGACGCTGGGCCTGCAGACCCTTGAGTCTCCTGGGATAGCCTGGGATAGCCTACCTTCTGTAGGTTGGTGGATAGCTTGGAACATCTGGTCCTTGCATCTCTGAGCATAGGTGAAGAACTTATGGCTTGAGGCAGACACACAGAGTGCAAGGGAACAGAGAAGGTGTCCATGAAATCCTTGGCCCCGGGTGAACCCTTTGATTCTAATTTCCCTGAGCCTCTGTTTCCTCTTTGATAAAGTGAGGTCCATGATGTTGGCAGCCTTATAATGTGGTAGGGACTAAAGAGAGAGTAAAATCTGGTGGCAAGTGGTTCCTTAGCTCACAGCAAACAGCGTCTGAGGACCAGGGAGGACTGATGTCTCCTGTTGTCCCCCAGGAAACTGGGATTCCGCAGACAGACAGTTGCATTCTGCCTGGCCTCACTTCAGAGGGGAGTGGCTGTTATCATCACCTATAGACATATGCACATGGGGCATGCATGTCTTTCTGATTCAGTCTGCAGGACTCCCATGAAAGACCATGAAAGGTCAGGGGGAAGGTTGTGGGATGTGGAACCAGAATGCTGAGTTCACCCCCATTTTAACTCTTTACTACTTGTGTGAGTTTTTTTTTTTTTCCCATTTGTACCACAGGAAAAAATATTTGTAAGGGTCAGAGAAATTGGTATGAGAGATAAAATGCTTATCAGTTCTGTGCCTGGTCCATAGAAAAGCCAAAAAAAAAGTTATAGCCACTATGATGATTATTATCTACCCTGCTGCCAGGTTCCTGTTGATCTCTGACCTGTTTGGCCAAGGGCTTGTTTATGTCACAGTAAGTCAACTGTATATCTGTGGCTCTGTGTTCAGGCTTTCACAGTTCTTATGGGTAACTTTCCACTCACTGGGTGTAATGTTGGTGCGCACAGGATCATCAGGTGGTTTGTGGTTGACCCCATCATGTGGCCAACATTGTAGCCATTAAGAAGAAACTGGGGTGATGGGAGAGGCCCTGGTCAGCTGGGATGAGAAGATAGCTTGGGAACAGGATGCCCAGGTTGCCCTTTGGTCTCTGCTGTGACCCTTACTCTTTGCCCTCCACCCTAGCTGTTAAGGGAACGCCTTAGGTGTCTCACCACAGGCCAGGTGGCTGCTCCTGTGTCAGACAGAAGGCAACCAGGAAATTGATAAGCTTCCTGGTACTGGAATGAGGTCAGCGAGGAGTGGGGTCAGGAATGGTCTAGTGCCCACCTGAGTCTGTGATATCTTTCCTGAGCGTGTCATGGGCTCTTACTAAATGATAAAACCTGGGTGGGCATCCATGCATCCCAAGAGGACAGTGGTGGGTGGACATTAAGTGGCCCAAGAGAGAAGCCCTCACGCTCATGTCCTGGAGGCTGATCGGAGGATGCCTTTGTTTTGGGTGCTCGAAGGGATGAGAGCCTGGGTGACCTGCTTCCAACATGTTGGTGACACAGTCCTGAGCTCATCTTTCCCAGAGTCAGGAACCCACAGCCTGGCTATCTTGCTTACCTCTCTGTATGGAGGGTAGTATTTTAGAGAGTGGTTCCAAAGAACATACCACATTTTACTCTTGACCACGGTTGATGATGCCAGGAATGCTCTTCAGAAGTGTGACTAGCCATAACCCAAAGGGCCTGACTGTGGCAGGATACCAGTTCCCTAGGAGATAAGATGACAGAGGAGGCATTTGGAGCCCTTCCATCCTTAGACATAGCTAGCTAGTCACGTGACACACAGTTTGCAGGCCATTACTCTTTTTTTGTTCCCACAGCACAGGGGAAGGTTGGTGCGTCATAGATCTCAATAGATGAGACAACAGAGCTGTCCCATGGGCATCTCCCCAACTCCACTGATTGTTGTGAAGCCGTGGGCAGTAAGTCCTCACTGAATCTAGACCATTCCAGAGGCTTTGTTGGCGCAGTGCTCCAAGCAGCTGCACCTAATCCATGGTTGTCTGCCAGGGCTGATGACAGGTCATGGGTTGCAGTGACTCCTCCCTGCTCAGCAGGGCAGACACCTCGGCTTGCTCATATCTCTCTCCATCCTCAACAATTAACCACGGTGCCAGTTACATGGCTAGAGTGGTTGTCTTTCCACTAGCCCTGAATGCCGTTATTTCTCTGTGCTCATGCATTCCATCTCTGGAGAGCCAACCAACTGTGAATCAAATATTTTTGATCAAAAAAAAAGTTTTCTTGAACACACATATTTTTCTTGTCCTTATTCTCTAGACAACATGGTAGCTGTAACCAATGTTTACATTTTAAATGTTTTTATTTATTTCATGTAGATGCATGTGTGCCTGAGTATATCCATGTATACCATGTGTTGGGGGGGGGCTGTAGAAGCCAAGAGAGAGCATCAGATCCCTTGGAGCTGCAGTAAGAGTCAGTTTGTGAGCTGTCGCGACAGGGATGCTGGGACCAAACCCAGATTCTCTGAAAGAGAAGCAAGTGCCCCTAATTGCTCAATCATCTCTCCAGCTTCAGCATTTACATTTGCTTGGTATTATAAGTAATCTAGCAGTAATACAAAATACACAGGAAGACTCGAATAGGTTATATACTAATAGCATGACGTTTTATATAGTCTGGGATGTCTGTGATCTTTTGTTTCCTTGGGAGTCTGGACCCTGTGGACACCAACAGCAAGAATTACGTGTGTTTAGATGGTATCTAGAACACAGTGAAATCTCAGTGAGTGAAGTGATTAAATAACTCAGCACATACCTTTGGTTTTAGTACTGGGTGAAAGATCATGACATAAGCCTACTTATGACCTCACCTCACCAGTGAGTGATAGCTGCCTCATTAGCGTGGGACAGTTGGTAGGAATGCTGGCCGTTGAGTACCACTTGTCTTCCAGGCACAAGAACACTTGTCTTCGTTTAGTCACTCAAGAACCCTGATGAGTTAGTACTTTATCATTTTTATTTTAGGGATGAGGAGATTGAGTCTCAGAGTGACACAAGATGTTTCTTGGGGGAGTGTAACCATGGGGCACATGTCACCGTTGAGTGTGAGAGCTAAATCTAGAGCCTGGGTTATCTCACCTATAGGCCGATGTGCTTTCTCTGATCCCTGTGTTATGTTTTCTGGGTCTATAAAGTTTTAACGTATGGTTGTCATATGCCATGCTTGATTTTAAGGCCTTTTAGGGGTCCCTGTCTAAAGCCTCATAGTGGGTTCAAGGAGGCCTAAGTGCTCTGAGATCATATAAGGGTATGCATTTCTCTCTAGAGACTCTGAGCTTGTATCAGGCCTTCCCTCACAGAGGGGCTCGCACCTGTTATAAAGTGAAGGAGCATAGGAACCTATGCAGTGGACTTTTCCAGAACCCTCAGCACTGATCAGAGATTCCATTTCTCTTATCTGCAGAGGACTGATTACAGTGACAAGTAACCTCAGCTACATCATCGAGCCTGTCTCTGACAGTGGCAGCCAGCACCGAATTTACAGATCTGAACATCTCAAGCTGCCCCCGGGGAACTGTGGGTTCGAGCACTCCAAGCCCAACGCTAAGGACTGGGCCCTTCAGTTTACAAAGCAGACCCAAAAACAACCTCGCAGAGTGAGTTTTTAGGTTCCCAGGGGAGTTGTCAGACTGATCTGAGCTTGTTCCCTCTGGCCACCCTTACTTTGATTCCAGAAGTACTTCAAAATTGAGGGAGAATTGGTAAGAAAGAGGAAACACCCCCCTCCGCTTTCTTGGGGTTGTTGAAGTGAGCCACTGTCATGAGAGAACCACTGTATTTAGAATTCTCTGAGATGCTGATTTCTGAAACTGTATAAGGTTAAAAAAAAAAAAAAAAAAAAAAAAAACAGTCCACCTCCCCTCTTGGAATAGCCACCTCATCCAATGTACAAAATGTTTTTTGTTCACACTGAAAGCAGAGGTCTGTGGTCTCAAGGTCATTTGGGAACTAAGCTGTCAACATGTTCCCTTGTGGGTTATTGGCTTCAATTTTGCCTGTACTAGCCAGTTTGGCTTCTTGTTTTTTGAGAAAAAAAGGAGTCGATCCCATGGCTCAGAAAGACCTCTAGCAATAACCACTTGCAGATGGAGGTGGTGGGCTGTAGCCAGGACCGTCTCTAACACCTAAATTTAAAAGAAGTAAGGTCACAGCTTGTTAATCAGCATGGTTTCTCTGCAGCTTTTTGGGATGAGCCGTAGCCAACTGTTTCTTCTGCACTGATCTGCTTCTGTGTCTTCCCTAGATGAAACGGGAAGATTTACAGTCCATGAAGTATGTAGAGCTGTACCTGGTGGCCGATTACTCAGAGGTAAGGGGTCAGTGATGAATCTCAGCAGACAAACCTCCCCGAGAGCACCCATTCAGCCTTCCGCTGCTTTGTGGAGATGTGGACACATTCATCTTTCTGTTCTAGTTTATCATATAAATTTGACCTGAAATCTGGCCAAGGGCTCTTCTAGCCATTTTAAATAGTCAGGAAAAAAGAAATCAACCATAACCAAAAGCCAAGGAAAGTTCTTAGTGTGGACACATAAGCACAGCGTTACTTAGACAGGGCCTCACAATCCTACAGTTCTGATTTGTTCTTAGGACAGTCTGTTGTTCTTTAGAGAATCTCTTAGACCTCTGTCTTACAAAGGTAGCAAGCGTCTTCATCATCTAATCAGATGCCATTTTCTCAAATATCTATTTTTTTATGTCCATGTTGGTGTTCCCCGAATGTCACCAGAGAGGCAGCATATGTGGCAGCTGGGAACTGTGAATAATGCAAATCTCTGAGCCTCATTCCAGATCTCTTACACCCCAGCTTGTCAGAGTGGGGTCCCATAATCCATGTTTTAATAAGATTGGAGTAGTTTTAATGCATAGCAGGTGATCTTGGGAACCACTAGCCCAACAGAGTAGGGTAGCACCTTAAATCATATTCCTCAAATTGGCAAGCCCTAAGGTTTCACAAACACCCTTGCACCTGGCTTGATCATTTGTTTCACTTCCCTGGGTGATTTCCTGATTTTTCTATGATGTGCTAGCACAGTGCTTGGCATCAGGATACAGCCCTGAGCCAGAGCCGCTCCTTACTCTGGAGTTTACAGCAGAAGCATAAAACCCTTGTAGTTCTAGAGCACAATAGCCACTACTGAAATGGTCCCTTGGTGATGTCTAGAATGCACACAGAGGATCTGAGGTGTTTGGGGGACTTGGGAAAAGCCTCTCTGAGGTGGCAATGTTGAAGGTGGCGGCTCTCAATCAATGGAGAATTATCCTAGAGTCACAGGAGTCCTGCTTTCCTCCAGGAGCTAACCTAATATGATATAAGGACCATGTACCTGTTGTTCTTTTGATGCAACTAATGCCTATAAAACACAAACACGAGACTCAGCACCCACATTTATTGAGAGAGGGAAGAGAAAGAAGGGGTAGCTGGTGGCCAACCAAAAGCAGGAGAGAGAGAGAGGGAGAGGGAACAGAGAGAGAGAGCAGAGAGAGGCAGAGATGTTTCCATTAACCAGGTGTTTCCTTCAAGTCCCACATCATGAAGCGACACAGCCACAGCCAAGCACACTTCCGTGTCCTGGCTGAACACTGAACCAAAACTTTCTGTCCTCCTTGTAAGCGGAGCTCCTCACTCTGTCTCATATCCCCTCCACTTGGGGCTACAGCTTCCCTCAGAGGCCTCTTTCCTATAGCCCCACAGTGTGGATCACAGGGGAGTGCTGGGGGTGGGGTGGGAGGGTTCAAACCCGGGTTTGAGAGCTGCCTTTGAGTGCTAGAGGGGAAGAGATGGCCCTTGAGCTTCTTAAAGAAAGAGGGGAGCTCACTGGGGAGTGGAGTGGGTGAAGGGCTTTCTAGGGAGGGAACATTGTGTTTGCTTTCAGAAGAGCTTAGCTTTTTAACTGATGTTGGCATTGTTTTTTTCTCCCAGCACTGGTGATGGGTGGGTCCTAGGGTTTTGTTTTGTTCTCTCTCTCCCTCTCTCTCTCTCTCTCTCTCTCTCTCTCTCCACTGATATATAGTTGTGGGGAGCAATAACAAATGTTGGTTTTAAAGCCATCCGGGCCTGTCCTACAGCATCACCTTTACCATTACTCTGTACTGTGAAGGTTGCTGGGAGAGTGCCCTTCCTCCAGAATAGTTTTTTTTTATTTAGGCCTTGCATCTAGTGTCATCTGATTCAAAGGTCTTGGACCGTTTTTCCTGAGCCACTAGATCGTCTGATCAAAGTCCTGCGACCCCAATAGTCAGGCAGCTAGAAACTCCATTGCTCTACTTAAAAGGAGAAGGGGGATTACTGCTTCAGCCCTGTGGTCCCTGATGCAGGGCTTAAAAAGCCACTGCATGTGAGTCTCAAGCAGGTGCAGTAAAGGAAGGTGCAGTAAGGATGGAGAGCCTGCAGCCTCCTGACTCACAACAAACCAGGGAGGAAAAGTGTCTGCAGAAGGCACCTTCATGACTGTGGGCCATCCAGAGGATCTCACTGTTGCAGAAGGATACACCTTAAGCACCAGTAGGATAGGCATCCACACCCCTTTCCTACAGTGCCACGACTCTCACTTCCTGGTAGGTAGAGGGATCTCTCGGTTCTCAGGGCCATGAACCTCCCTCGACTGTAGGCTTTGAATGATTCATGTTGGAGTGGAGTAGGCCAGGCAAGATTTGCAAGGCCTAGAATCTGCAGACAGAAGTGTATTCCTGGCAGTTAATATGAGACTGTGGGAAGATAAATGAAGGGAAGGATGCAGTATTTGTGGTTTAGGCACAGCAGCCTTCTCCTCTGGATTCTGAACTCAGAGCAGCAAGCAGGGTGAGAAGGCAAGTGCTGGGAAGTGAGGCCCTGGTAATGCCATCTAGAGAGCTGTCAGCAGTGTCTCTCTGCCTAGTTCTAGGTGTGAGCTTGTGAGCATGTCCATTCCATAGGTGATGTGGAGCATAAGAGGGCCTTTTGGGTGGTTCTGGGCATATGAATTCATTCATTAAATGAAATAAAATGTAAGGGAGCAAAGAATAAGATTCATATTGGAGACAGAGTCCTGTAAAGTACCTTGATGGTCCCAGCAGGATGTGAGGGGTCTGGGGAAGGTTAACATACCATGTTATACTTCCAGTGTCATCCCGGAAAATATAACATCGAGACACATTTTTTTTTTTTTTTTTTTTTTAATGACCAAGGGTTGTAAACTACAGCCCATGACCATGTGAACATGTTTCTGTGAGTAGTATAGTATACTGGAGTCAAGCACACCCTTTGATTTATGGCATCCCAGAAGCTTCTAAGACACCAAAGCAGAATTGGGTAGTTGTGGTCCACCAAGCAGAACTGAGCAGTATGGTCTACAACCATGTGGTCTACCAAGCCTAAAAATGTTTACTCTGTGGTGCCTTTCAGAGTAAGCCTACCAACCCCTGCTCCAGAATCTCCTGGAAACATGATACGCTGCTTCAACAATGGTGGCCTTTCTGGGCCTTACTGTTTGAGGACAGGATTAATATGTTTGGAAACCTAAAATCTCATCTCTATGCTCTAATAAATATTTATCAAATGAGTGGAAATACTCTGCCACATGGCTAGTTTAGAAGCCAGGAAGTCTTCCTAATGGAGACTTCTAGATTAAACACTATGCAACACTGTGCAATTGTCTACGCAACAGGGTCCTAGAATTTAGCTCTGCAGGAAATAAGGATAGCATTGGGATTCTCTTCTGGTCAGAGACAATCCCAAGGAAGTTAAGGAATGTTCTAGATTCTACAAGAGAAAGGAAAATGATACCCTTCTCTGTACCAGAACTGGGACACAACCCTTGCTGAACAAATATTTCAGGGTATTTTATTTGGCTGTTTATTCTTTTTCTTCTTTGGGTATTTTGGTGGAGCAAGAGCTTGAAATTGAGTGAACATAATACACACCTAACAGTAAATTCACTAGGTATCCAGACCCTGTGTAAAAATGCCAACAGACAGAGAACATCCATCATCTGGGGTGGGGGAGATCACAGTTCTAAATATTTTATCTTTACATCCTGACGATGTCCTTACTCCATTATTGAAGGTAAAAGAAACGGGTCTGTTTTTTTCAAACAGAAGTGGTAAATATGAGGCCTCCTTTTGGGACTCTAGGAAGACATTCAAATCAAGTACAGCACAATCTTCTCTCCTATGCTTGATTAGCAATGTCTGACTTCACAATGATGAGGTTTCAGAATCTTTTTCGCTACAGAAGGCACTGCCAGTTGGAATGGAGTGCAAGGCAAACCCTGTTTGCTGAGGCCACGTGGCCCCGTTGACAGCTCCCTTTTTGTGACATTTGCATGGCCCTCTTCTGCAGTTATTCTGTGCAAATTCTCAGTGGATTTTGTAGCTCTTTTAAACCATGTACCTCCTAAGTAGAGTACTCTCATTGTAGTTATTTCTGACTCTCTGTTGTATTTGAAGCTCCATAGTCTGGGGTCAACATGTAGCAATTGTATCTCCTCTTTGTAGTAAGCACAACAGCTTGTCCGTAGAGTAATTCAGCAACCATTAAGTCATGGTTAACTGACCATATGCAGGCAAGCTTTGTGTGACAGTGGCTTCCTATTGGGGTGATGAGCAAAGCAAAGAGACCTGTCCATCTTCTGACTCACCAGTGAGTTAGCCAGAGGCATTGTAACTTAAAGCACAGGAAAATAAGACTTACTTGAGTTGGGAGATGGAGGTACCCTTGCTGAGCTGTGGGAAGGACCATTGCCTAAAAGTGACTGCACACCAAAAACAGGAGAGTAAGGGTACATTCAGTACATTCACTGACAAGAAAGGGGGCCCCTGGGTGAGAGCTGTCAGAGGGTCTCACCTGGCTCTGTTTGTCCCATTTAGTTTCAGAAGAATCGGCGTGACCAGGATGCCACAAAACACAAGCTTATGGAGATCGCCAACTATGTTGATAAGGTGAGACCTGGTGTGCTTTCTGGGGGAGGTGGTGGCACCTGAGATGGTCTGCGGGATAGGAGGTCACACCTACATGAGTTCTTGTTGCTGAACTGGGCACCACCAGAAGGTCCTTGAAGGACTATTCTGTGTCATGTCGTAGATGCTGGGTGGGGGTGGGGGTGAGAGGGTAGGGGGGTGGAGATGAGGGGGTGGGGGGTGGGGAAGCATGACAAAACCCCTGACTGTAAACCAGAGGCAAGAAGAAGCTCTTTGGGTTGAGTTTTGGTTTTCTTGTTGGTTTGTGTGGGTGTTTGGGGGGGCTTTGTTTTGTGAAGTCCAAGCATTGGCTTCAAACAGTGGCTTTCAGTTATTTTTGTAGTTTTCTGATGGAATCTGTAAGGATGAGAGCTTATGCCCTTGCCCTTGGAAAAGTCAGATGGAAGCAGATGGCTGTAAACAGCAGTGGTACCCACAGCTCTGTCCCTTGGTCTTCCTCTCATCTGCAGTGGCTCTTGAGGTACTTTGGTCAAGGGAGAGCCTAATTTAAGAATGCTTTGAGGATGTGTTTAAGAGTTCCTTCCAGGTGAAAGTCCAGGAGGGGTTGAAGTGGATCATGACCTGAATGCACATAGAACCTTTAAAAGTCAGGGTGCCGTCCACTTGTCTGGAGCCGATATGTGAAATTGTCTGAGGCTCCCCTCTTCTAGGAAGACTACGAATGGCTGTTTCTGTGGTCAGGCTCATTGACAACATGCATTTAGGAGATTAGCAGAGGTTTGCACAGCACTAAACAGGGCATTCTCAGACCAGGAAGTAGTCAGTCTATGTTAAAGAAGGTAACGTAGTAATGAGAGCTCCTCTTCACAGAGGACTTGAACAAATAAACTCCTTTTGAGGGTTGGAGAAGGGGCGTTTTTCTGATGATTGAACTCAAGGCTTCCTCCATGCAAGGCAAGTGCTCTGCCACTGACCTACAGTCTCAGCCCTTCAGCCACAGGTCTCTTTGAGGCTCTGATAGTCATTTCAGGACGCTTAACTCTTGGCCTGCTAGAGAGGTTCATGGTTGGAAAAATGTCTCAGCCGTTGACACATAAACGGGTTAAACTTTCAGGGCTTAAAATACAAATTTGTTTGCTGTGGAAATCATTAGCTGGGAAGTTCTCGGTCTTGGTTTTTTTGTTTTGTTGTTTTTTTTTGTTGTTGTTGTTTTGTTTTGTTTTTTTGTTTTTTCTCCTTTGTCCTCAACAGCTGTGGAAACAGGCCAGCGGCATGTAACAGGTGAAAGTCAAACACTGGTCTTTCCTGGAGAGACACAGTAGATAGAGTCCTGTCTCCAGCTCCTACCTCAGCAGTAATGCAGTCTCAATGATCATATAACCAAACACTGGACATCTGGGAAAATGTGCTTAGGGGGGTGGGGCGGATACAGGAAGCTGATCCTACTGCCACCTGTGTAGCAACCTTTGTCCTGGAGGCCAGGGAGGTGGAGGGCGTGGCTGGCTGGCTTTAGGAATTTTCCTCCCATACTGGGTGATAAGAACCCACCTCTAGGCACTGATGATGTCAGTAAACACAACAAACAAACGGAAAACAACAAAGCGAAAGATGCAGTCTAGAAGGTAGCCACAGACCCCAGGTGTTGGGGGAAGCCCTGTGCTTTGCTGCAGGATGGTCCTTTCTTGGAAGTGAGGTTAATCACTCCCTGGGGGTTGAGGTGTAATAGTTTTTCTGAAACTTGCTGAGCCAGCTACTCTGCTTGACCATTTTAACATTAAAACTGGAAGAAGTTCATGCATGTGTTGAATTAGGAGCCCAATCCACAGCATTTTTCCTTAACTGTTAAAAAAAAAAAAAAAAAAAAAAGCCAAGTTCACTTCCTTAAAATGTCCCTTACTGAAGAGCATTCAGAAGCCCTGGGCTTTCTGTAATGATGGATGTGGCACAAGCCAGAATCAGGAGCCCATCCAGGCTGCAATCTCTTAGGGGCAAGTGAGGGTTTTGAATGTGTACACGTGTGTATGGCTCATGTATGTATGTGTATGTAGTACATTATAGTATATGATATGTAGATGTGTATCTATCATCTGTTATATGATCGAAGCTCTTGAGTGGATGGTCACAAAGGCCCTGATGCCATCATTCCTCCTGGTTCCAGAGTCTTCCTGCTGAGATGTTGGGCAAATTTCTTAACCTCTACAAGCTTCAGTCATTGCCTTGCTAATGAAAAGTGCTCGACAAACAGTGGTGTCCCAGTTATTATTTTTATCTGGGAAGGAAACCCCCTGCCCCACTTTTTGATTGATGTAATCTATCCTTTTGTGGCCACTGTGTCCATGTGTGGTTTGTTTTGTTTTGTTTATGGGGGCCTGGTGTGTAAAGGACCTGCTGGGCAAGCATAAGGAGCTGATTTCCCAGCATCCATATAAAAGCCAGGCATGATGGTATATGCCTGTAACCATGAGGCTGGTGGGGGGCTGGGAGAAGGGACATAGGGGACAGAGACAGGTCTATCCCTAGACCTCATAAGTCAGCCAGCCAGACTGAATCAATGAGCTCCTGGTTTAGTGAGGGACCCTGTTTCAAAAAATGTGGAGAGTAATGGAGGAAGGCCCAATACCGACCTTCCACTCCATATGTACTTGTGCGCATCGCATACAGGACACATGTACAAATAGCATACACAGCCACAGACTCAGTAGCATCAAGGTCAGATCCATTAGAGAGCACTCCTGGCAGCTGTGCTCTGGCAGGCTGGGTGGTGAGAGGAACTGGCCTTTCTGTGTCTTTTCAGTTTTACCGATCCCTGAACATCCGGATTGCGCTTGTGGGCTTGGAGGTGTGGACGCATGGGGACAAGTGTGAAGTTTCAGAGAATCCCTACTCTACCCTTTGGTCCTTTCTTAGTTGGAGGCGCAAGCTGCTTGCCCAGAAGAGCCATGACAATGCCCAGCTAATCACGTAAGTTGTCCTTTTCTGGTTGTGTTGCATCAGCTTTGGCTGCATAAGGGGTATTCTGCCTGCCATAGGGATATTAAGTTCACCCATTCTTTCCCCAGGGGAGAATATTAGTTGTGCAAGAGCTCTACTGCTCCCTGGCCAGATAACCAGGCACTTTTCAGACCCAGCACACTTTGAAAAAAAAAAAAATGTTAAAAAGCCTAAGAATGATAAAAGTCCTGTGACGCGTTTCCCACCCATGTGAGAAAATGGGCCTCACCCATAATCAGCTGAGCAGCTGAGGCACTTGAGTGTGTGGGGAGTGGATGACACTTGGTCACAGCTGACAGCCTGAAACGGATGTTCTTCTAGCACATCAGCTGCGCTCCCACCACATGGTGCAGGCCCTCAGGTCCTTCACGTGCCTCTCCAAGCATCTCAGGACTCAGAGCCTGGGGAGGTCAAAATGGCAGACTGCAGGACCAAGATGAGAAGGCTTGGTCAGAGGATGCTGGCCAAGGACTGTGTTGAGTTTTCAACTGCCTCAGAGGGTAAAGAATACTGACAGAGCCCAGGCAGTAGGTGACAGCCCCCCAAGGGGCATTGGTGTATATCAGTGTTGGCCCTCCTGGGTAATTTGAGGTGGTTACAATAAAAGGCACATAGATAATAAACTTTTACTTCTTTCCCTTGAACACAGCTGAGTCAACAGGCATTTCAACCCTGATACCCTAATTTACTCTATCATAACAACTGGGATTTCCAGTATTTCCTTGTCCCTAAAACCTGAGTGGTCATGTGAGGACCATCTGCTGACTGAGCAAGTCTTTGTTTACTGAAACATTTGGCCTGAACTTTTGGATGGAACACCTTGAATCTGTTTACAGTAGGGCTTCTCCAAGCCAAGTGTAGGTTTGTAAAGTAACAAGAAGGGCTTCATACAGTTTTGCAGATAACTGAATTTATTAAGGAGACATTTATCAGACATTCATTTATTCCCCCTTGCCTACTCTGCTTGTATGCAACAGAGGGGGACTTGTTAGATTGGGGGAAACCGAAGCTGGCTGTTGACATGTTAGGCTCACCATTGAAGAACAGAGGCGAAAACAGCTCATCATCCCTGCATCCAGCTGTGGTTTGTGAGGCTCCCAAAGAGATGCAGCTGTTTCCTTGGCCCTTGTGTGATTTGAGGATGAAACATCAACCCCACAGCTGCTACCCAGCATCTCCACTTTTGCCCTTAAGATACATGCCACCGGTGGTTAGGCCTGGACCCCTGGCCACTGGTGGAAGTGGACATGACTCACTTGGGCACCGTAGCCTGTGCCACACCTTTTTCCCCTACTCCTGCCTCTGACCACTCTTCATGAATCAGGAAAGGGGCACAGCTTTTCAAACCCTGTCTTCTTCCTTTCAGAGTCTTTGGGCACATTGTGAGGGCAAAGTGACCTTTTTTCTATGCTTCCAAGAGAATAAGGGAGAGGAAGTAAGAGGTGTGGTATCCTGAAAGTTGCCCAGTTGGCTGGGTTACCAGGCTGTCCCCTTAGGAATAATCTGAAAATGTCAATGGGGTTAGTGCACAGCATGGTGGCCATTCACTCCTGTCCCAGGGGAACAGCTCTCTCAGCCCCCACCTGAATTACGTATCTTTTTCCTTCCTGCAGGGGCAGATCCTTTCAAGGTACCACTATTGGCCTGGCCCCACTCATGGCTATGTGCTCCGTGTACCAATCTGGAGGTGTCAGCATGGTGAGTTTCAGACCATACACTGGTACTACATAAAGGGACAGTGACTCCTGAGATAGGAGGCCAGCTCTGAAAAACCAATTTGATGTTTATAAAAAAAAAAAAACACATTAAAAAGAGTGAATGTTTCAAATGAGGTTATTAGGCCCTAAGGATGCTAAATTGTCATTCATCCTAATTTACATTAGTTTTTTAGCAATTATATAAACAGACCTGTAGATCTCTCATGTATTATTCCACACCTGAGACTGAAGGAGTAAAAACAGGAATTCAGGATAGAGAACAGGGGTGGAAATATTTCAGTTTAGGCCTTTAGTCCTTAGGTATTACATTGTGAAATGAGAACCTATATCAAGAGTCACAATTAGGAGATTTCTGTCTTTTGAAATTCTGACTTGGTGAGATAGGTTTTTTTTGTTTTGTTTATTTGGTTATATAGCTGTGGCTGGCTTGAAACTCATAGTATAGTCCAGGCTGGCCTCAGACTTGCTATCTAGCTGAAGATGACCTTAAGTTCTGCTCTTCTTATGTTCTGGGACTTAAGGCATGCCCCACCATGCCTGGTAGAAATATCCTTTTTGCTGCCTTTGTTCTTCTGGGTTTTTTTGTTTGTTTGTTTGTTTGTTTTGTTTTGTTTTTGAGATGGCTCTCACTATATATTACCCAGCCTGGTTCCAAACATCTGGGTTTGAATCTCCTGCCTCAGCATCTCCTTTACCTGGACTACATCAGTGCAACAGCTCTACTTGTTCTTTCTGTTTGTTTCCTTTTCAAGTTGTTTTTTGTTTGTTTTGTTTTGATGATTAAGAGCACACACTGTGTCAGTTTGGGCATGTGGTGCTCTCAGAAAACAGTGAGCCAGGTGTACCAACTGCTCAACTCAAGGTGCTATTCAAGGGATGCCTCAACAGGCCATTCACAGTCTGTGACTTAGAAGAGCACAGGAAACACAGTGTTCTAAGCAAATGATTTCCTGATGAGGACAGTGGCTGTAGACTCCTTAATAGCAAGTTCTATCGAGAGAGCCAATGAACTCACTGATAGGGGAATCAGAGGAGAGACATCAGGCTCAGATAATGAAAAGGCCTTCAAACCAGCTAGTGGTGGCACATGCCTTTAATCCCAGCATTTGGGAGGCAGAGGCAGGAGGGTCTCTTGAGTTCAAGGCCAGCCTGGTCTACAGAGTGAGTTCCAGGACAGCCAGAGTTATACAGAGAAACCCTGTCTCAAAACAAAACCAAAGCAGAGATAGAACCCTGACCTTGAATTGAACTCTCCTCTGAACAGGACCACTCTGAGAATGCCATTGGCGTGGCTTCCACGGTGGCTCATGAGATTGGCCACAACTTTGGCATGAGCCATGATTCTGCGCATTGCTGTTCTGCCAGCGCAGCTGATGGTGGGTGCATCATGGCAGCTGCCACTGGGTGAGTCAACCAGAAGGGTGAAGGTGGGGAGAAGAGTGGCCCAAGTTGTCTTCCTAGATGGCCCCAGTAAAAATTTTGAATTATTGATGAAGACAGTTACCATGAAATTTAGATGAAGTAGGCAGGTGTGCTGTGGGACACTGAGTTCCTTAAAGCAGGTTGGTGCTGGTAGAGCACTAGATGGAGCTACAGCCTGTAGTTTTCAGCAATTTTTTTTTTTTTTTTGAGAGTACACATGAGAAAGTGTCTTGCTTAGCCTAATCTTGAACTAGGGAATTTAGGCTCTCTGCCCATCTCAGTCATTCAAGTATCTGGGGCTTTAAGAATGTGCTACCACACCCATATGCCCAGTTCTTCATCAGGAAGTGTCTTAGTTAGGCTTTTCATTGCTGTGAAGAGATACCATGACCATGGCAACTCTTATAAAGAATATATTTAATTGGGGTGGCTCGTTTAAAGTTTCAGAGGTTCAGTCCATTATTATGATGGGAAACATGGCAGCATGCAGGTAGATAGTGGAACTGAGAGTTCTACATCTTGCAACAGGATGTGGACTGACAGTCACACTAAGGGAAGCTTGAGCAAAGGAAACCTCGAAGCCCACCCCCACAGTGACACACTTCCTCCAACAAGGCCACACCTCCTAATAGTGCTACTCCTTTGGGGGCCGTTTTCTTTCAAACCACCAGAGGAAGAGGTCATGTTTTGATCAGAACCACATCCCCTAGTCCTTCCATGTCAACATGGTCAGTGCTGCTGTATCCCAGGCTTCTTTGGAAGTTCTGGAGTTTATAGAACAAGGGGAGAAGGGGACCTCCACCCACTCCTCAGGGAAGCCATGATATGAGCAAGACTACTGAGTCTCCAGCAGATTTTCTGAACCAGAGCTTTTGAAAGTGGAGAGCTTATCTTCTTGCGTCTGTACTTGGCATACATCATGGCAGGTTCAGAACTTGAGCAACTCCCCAGAAGGCATTGTAGTAGAATTCTTCTTATACTCCTTCATTCCAAACCCTTGGCATCTGCTTATGCTTTCTAGAGAATGGTGGTTCAAGGCAGCTTTCTTGTTTGTAGCACTAGTGTTTGCTCACCACTCCTTGACTTCTGTGACACCAAAAGGATGTTGGTGACATGTGGGATACAACTCCATGGGCATATCCAAATCCCTTTGAGTTCATAGTTGAAGTCCACCCCTTTCATTCATCAATTCCAATAGAGCAGTGGTTTTCAACCTTCCTAATGCTGGGCCACTTTGATACAGATCCTCATGGTGTGGTGACCCCAACAATAAAATTATTTTGTTGCTACTTCATAACTGTAATAACAGTGTAAATATCTGATATGTGACCCTAAAGGGATCATGACCCACAGGTCGTGCTGCAGTAGAGTACCTGTAGACCAGTGGGTGACAGTTACATTCATTACTACTCTAATCTGTTTTTATGTTATTCACACACTGTAGTAGGTTAATGTAGCAAATTACTTGGCAGCACACTGGGTAGTATTGGAGGAAGCATCCAGTGCTTAACCTTTAATTGGTGAGAATTAAGGGCCAGGCCTTACCTGGGTCTTTTTACAGACCCATATTGTGATACTAGCAGTTTCCCCATACTTAAATCTTGTGCTATGCAGCTGTGTGATTTTCCTATACATGCCTATGATGATTTAATTTATAAAGTAGGTACAGTAAGAGGTTAAAAATAGTAACTCAAAATAAACTAAAATGTTTAAAACAGTGACGATAATAGACGTTACTTCACACTTAGAAACTTCTAGAAATGGGCAAGTCCTATTTAATATTTTCAAGACCCCTGTTGACTATGGGTAACCAAAACCATGGACAGCAAAGCTGCAGATAAGGGAACTGCCTCACTTTTGCTTCCTTTTCATAGCAGCAGGCGACTTGGGAGCTTTCATACACACTCTTACGATAGAGACCACACATTTGTGTACTAGCTGATCGAGTTTGCTTATCAGGAGAACAGAGATCATCCCTTTTAGCCCATGAGTAAATTAAACCCATGATCTCTGGCTTTCTGGTTCTGGTTTTTGTCAAGAGAAAAGAGATACCCATCTGGCATTGAATTGGCTGGTGTTCTGTTCAGCTCTCAGTATGGAAACGTGTCTTACTGTGCTTACTGCCCTTTACCTACTCCATCATGGAAAGGACGGAAATTGCCTTTTTCATTTTTAATAAGAGAAATGTAACAGTATGGCATGCTTATCATTTCACGATTCAGGGTAAAAGAATTCTAAGTTCATGTATTGGTGAATGTCCAGGTGGGGCAGAGGGCATGGGTAGGGTTTTCATTCAGGTGAAGTTAGCCTTCTGGGTGGCAGGACAGCAAGCCATGTGGTGTGCTTAAACTCTCTACTAATGTCTCCTTGTTCTCTGTCAGGCACCCTTTCCCCAAAGTGTTCAGCTGGTGCAACAGGAGGGAGCTGGACAGGTACCTGCAGTCAGGAGGTGGGATGTGTCTCTCCAACATGCCAGATACTAGGACTCTGTATGGAGGCAGGCGGTGTGGCAATGGGTACCTGGAAGATGGTGAAGAATGTGACTGTGGGGAGGAAGAGGTAAGTGTCAGGGCCATGCTAGAGAGAGGGGAAACTCTGCATTGTTTTCAGAGCTTAAGGACATCGAGAGGACAACATGACAGATCATTTCCGAGTTGCCAGCATTTCTTACACATGACTACCACAGACCCTTTGTGTGTAAGATGTAGACAGTGGGTCTGCCAGGTGGACAGTCTCCCTGGTCTCTGCAGCTGTGAACAGCACAGTCATGTCCAAGATCAGGGTGGAGACCTCTTATGAGCCACTGCTCTAGCCACAGACCATGATCCCAGAGCACGTAGGCTTGCTCCTCCCGGAGCCCCAGATGCTGTCATTGGCCCTCCAGCTGCACTGAATTTACTCTGAAGGCCACACAGCCAGCCGAGAAGCTCATGAGCAGGAGCATGGTGTAGGCCTGGGGCAAAGCCTTAAGATAACAAGCTCGCACGCTGTTGAGTCTGGAGAAGAGAAGATTCAAAGGGAATGCTGCATGTGTGGGAAGGGCAGCCGAGGAAGGAGAAGCAGAACTCTTCGTGGATAGGCCTTTTCCTCCTTCGCAGCTTCAGAATGAGTGTGGAGAGCATACACCCTAGTTGTCATTTTTATCAGAAACATGTTTTTCTGCCCCCTCAAAAGTAAAAAAGCAGAACTAGATTGTTTCATCTCTATTTTTTGAAGTATGAGAAAGTGTATGTTAACCCATGCTTGACAGCTGGTGAACAGGAGGTGATGTTTGGGCGTGAGACTGGAGGTATCCAAATAATCTCTATACAAGATGTCTTTTTGGTTTTTTACATTTATTTAGTATGTGTGCGCACACATGTGTGTAGGTCAGGGAATAATGACAGAGCTCTCCCTCCCTCCCCTTTCACTGTGTGGAATCCAGGGATCAAACTCAGGTCTTCACACACTGAGCCATCTTCTGGCCTTGTGTTTAAATAGAACCCTGTAACTTTCAGAATAAAAGAACCAGTGAAAGACTGAGAACCGTGAACAAAAAGCAAGGATCAGCCCTGGCCCTTTAGCAAAGAGGGAGCTCAGTTAAGAACAGTGTGGGTGGTAGGATTTTGATTTTGCAAGCTCAGTATGATCTCATAATTACGGGATAATACCTACCCAGAATCACCACATAGTCCCACTAAGTTGTGGTTTCTCCAAGGAGGTACACCTGTGTCTTTTCTCTGGCTATTACGCATTGTCTTAACCAAGAGCTGCCAAGTGATGGTCTAGTGAGGAGTTCTGGGGAGCAGAAAGCAGGACACACCAGGCAGGCTGGGGATGGAGGAGGCAAGGGTGCCCCCTGCTGGGCTCCTACTCTTGCCCTGCTGCTGCAGAGGCTAAAAGCTATCTGTTGCCTGCCTTTGCAGGAGTGTAAAAACCCTTGCTGCAATGCCTCCAACTGTACTCTGAAGGAAGGGGCTGAGTGTGCCCATGGTTCCTGCTGTCACCAGTGTAAGGTGAGTGCCCCTTTCCCCCTCTCTCGGGCTTTGAGATGACAGGTTAGTGGGTTATGACTGTTTCAGCATGCATCAAAAGTTCTAGACATAGGGCTTGGGAGGGTGGCTCGTGGTAGAACCTGTGCTGTTGTTGGTAATTTTTATTTTTTTGGCTCTTTGGGGAGCCTGCCACCCAGCTCCCAAATAAATATACACAGAGACTTATTGTTACTTATAAATGTCAGGCCTCAGTTTGGCTTGTTTCTTGCCAACTTTTCTTAAATTATCCTGTCTACCTTTTGCCTCTGTACTTTTACCTTTCTCTATTTCTATCTACCTTTTCTTTCCTTCTTATTTAATGTCTGGCTATGTAGTTGGTTGGCTAGCCCCTTCTTTTCTCAGTCCTCCATCTCTTTCCCAGATTTCTCTTCCTTTTTATTCTCTCTGCCTGGCAACCCTGCCTATCCTTTCTCCTGCCTTGCTATTGACCATTCAGCTCTTTATTAGACCATCAGGTATTTTAGACGGGCAGAGTAACACAGCTTCACAGAGTTAAACAAATGCAACATGAAAGAATGCAGCACACCTTTGCATCATTCAACACAGCATAAACAAATGTAACACATCTTAAAATAATATCCCACAACTCTGCTGTCACGCTCAAGGACCTGGATTCAACCCTAGCATTGGAAGGATGGGAAAGGAGAGAGAGAGAGAGAGAGAGAGAGAGAGAGAGAGAGTGTGTGTGTGTGTATGTGTGTGTGTTACATATTTGGAACTGAGAATGTCCCTTCAACTAATCATACTGTTTTCCACCCTGGGCCTCCTTGTGTTCAAATCACACCAAGAAGTATACATACATAGTACATTCATATATAATACATACATACATATGTATACACACATATATGTATATATGTATATATATATGCTCTATATAAGATTAAGATATATATTTAAGATACATATCTTTTTATTTTGAGATAAGAGCTCACTAAATTATTCAGAGTGGCCTTGAACTTACTCTGGAGTCTAGGCAAGTACTGATATCACCCTCCCCCTGCCAGGAGGGATTGTAGGCCTCAGCTACCAGGCCCAGCTCCACTTCATTTTTACCTGAACACATTAAAAAGAAAAACCATGATTTTGATTTCCATCAATAGTCACCTTGGTAGATGTCAAGCACGAGGCTGAGGATTTTATGTGGGATGTCTGACTCAATCTTTACAAAGGCCCCATGGAGTATATATTTCTGCCTTTGTTTTAAGGGGAGGAAATGAGGTCATTATGACATTCATGATGTATTCCAGATTCCACTGGGGCCAGAATCCAGTTCTCCCTGACTTTGAAGCCCACTTTCCTGATATCAACACTGGAAATAAATTATTACTATTAGTAACCACATAGCACAAAATAAGAAAACCTTTTAAATCTAAATCCTATAATTCAGGAAGTTCCAAAATATGAAAAAAAAAAAGTTTTGGTGATAAAATCCGACCAAATGGGTATGAGACTAATTATAGTCCTTATGGAAAAAAAATTACATAAAGTCAATATTTTATTTCATTTTAATATTGGTTATAAAGCTTATTTTAGGTCTTACTGGGTTATATAATTCACATACATAGTGGTAAATATATATTTGCAATTCTATACATCTATTCATGCAGATTTCTACATATACATTGTTAGGCATATATATGTACATATATACATACACAAACTATTAATGATATTTGAACTTTTTTTTTTCAAGACAGAGTTTGTCTGTAGCTTTGGAGCCAGTCCTGAAACTTACTTTGTAGAGTAGGCTGGCCTCGAACTCACAGAGATCCACCTGCCTCTGCCTCCCGGGTGCTGGGATTAAAGGTTTGATGCTAGTTTCAAGAACAAAACAAGAATGTTGTAAATTGAAAACTTACACAAATGCCAGTTTTCTGTGTGGGGGTATGTGTGTGTGTGCATGAGCATATAAGCACATATCAGGGCACTGATCTACCACATGCCACGAGACTTCAAATATATTGTGTTTCAGATCTTCATATAAGACTGTCATACAACCTAAATGATGTCCCAATGACACTTAAGTGAAGCTGCATAAAGGCAGCTATGATTGCCAAGGCACAGAGTAAACTAGAAATTGTCACTTAAATATTGCTTCCCACCTGCTTCCTAAGCCTGCTGTGAAAAGGAAGTGAGTTGCATTTGTTTTTGTGGATACAGTTTTGAAAGTGCACAATCACTGTTCATATCAGAAGCCCATGATGGCTTAAGCTAAGGAAGTCATGTGGTAAGTGCTGTGGTATCAAGGCAATAAAGAGGTGCGTTGCGTGGATGTGATGATGATGAGCTCTTGGCTGAAAGGGTTGAGGGTCAGGGAAGAAATAACTACTTTTCTCTTCTTGTTCTTCAACTCAGCTGGTGGCCCCTGGAACCCTGTGTCGTGAGCAGGTGCGGCAGTGTGACCTTCCCGAGTTCTGCACCGGCAAGTCTCCCCACTGCCCCACCAACTTCTACCAGATGGATGGCACCCCCTGTGAGGGTGGCCAGGCCTACTGCTACAATGGCATGTGCCTCACTTACCAGGAGCAGTGCCAGCAGCTGTGGGGACCGGGTAAGGACCCTCCTGGAGAGCGTGTTCTCTTCCACCCACCACTTTTGAGCCAAGCTTCCCATTGGCCACTTAGCATGGCCTAGCATCTTGACTTCAGAGCATCCTCAAATACCACCTCTCATCCTATTAGCTCAAGGGAGACATCCAGGGGCAGCCAGGTGACAGCATTCTTCCCAGTCCTTTGAGGTTTTTAATTTGGACAGTTCTAAAGGGGTGTTGGGTAGCAATACCTACTCCCCGTTCCACACTGATGAAGCAGAAATGGAGACTAAAAGATTCCAAACATCTTTAAGGTACAAAAGATGTTCAACTTTAGTCATACTGAGGGAAAGCAAATTGTAACTACCATGAAGTAAAGTTTTTTTTTTTTTTATGTATCAGATCACAAATACAGCAAGTGATATAATAATAGCAACAACTATCATAACATGGCATTGTGGAGGGTATGATGAGGAAACAGATAGACCTCTATAGAAAGGTTTAGGGACAGCAAAATTTTGAATGCACTCACTGGTCCCATTAATTACATCGGGCTTAAATTTTTTCCACTCACCCTTTTTTTCTGAGACTTTTTACATGGTATGGAATATATGAAAATATAAAAAGGTATCTGCAGGATTTATTGATAATAAATCATAAGGAAATTTATTTTAAAAGAATCTTTCATGTATATATATATACACATATATATATAGTGTTGCCATAGCAAATTTGCACTTTAATAAGTGGGTTTACTTGTTTGTTTTTACATAAACAATTAAATCTTGCCTAAATAGTTGATGGTGCGGGACATAGAGTGCCTTCAGCGGTTTTTAGAGTTAATTGATATTGTAATTTTATAGTTGTCAATGATGGAAACATCAACTCTTGTGGATATGTGGTATAAAAATTTCTGAAGTATGTTTAGGGCTGTACCATAAATTGTTGGAAATTTTGTTTTAACCCTAAATCATGATTCATTTAGTGATTTTTATTTTTATTCTTTGAGACAGGGTCTCACTGTGAATTTCCTGTTGGCCTAAAATGTACTATGTAGTGTAGGCTGGCCTTCAATTCCCAGAGATCCACCTGTCTCTGCCTCTCAAGCTGGGACTAAAGGGTGGCTAGTGTCTTTGCTTATTTTTTGTTTGTTTTTAAAGAAACTCAAGTCTTAAACTCAAGCTGAAATTTTATAGATCAAACATTCTAACAAAATATTAACATTAATCTGGTGTTTAACTCCTGAGGTATAACAGTAGGGAAACATTAAGTCTTTGTTTTCCTTGATTAACCCACTGAATGAGAGAGCATATGAACAATAAAAACACGACCATTCATAATACAAAGTAGGCTCAAGTCTGAGCTGAGGGGTCTCAGTGGCATTCATTAGTTGTATGCAAAGTGTACAAGTGTGTTGAGAATCATAGATGTTATAAAGTCACGTGATGCAGTATGGGCGTGAGCTCTGCCAGAAACACCTTGGACTTATTACACACTCTGTTTTTAATTAGTGGTCATTGCACACTCAGAAACCCTCTACTGTTGCCTCCTTCCCCACATTCGGGTATGGGATTCCATCTGTCACCATTTTCAAAACCTGGGAATTAGCTGGTACATGCCTTTAATCCCAGCATTAGGGAGGCAGAGGCAGGCAGATCTTTGAGTTTAAGGCCAAACTGGTCTACAAAGCTACACAGAGGAAACCCTATCTTGAAAAACAAAAATCAAAAACGAAGAAAGAGGAGGGGGGAGGAGGAGGGAAGGGAAGGAAGGAAAGAAAGAAAGAAAAGAATTAGCCTCCAGTTGCTGATGGAGGTGAAGATGTTTGCAAAGATGTTTATTACACTGTTGCTAGTTGGTGCCCTGTAGTATGGGCCAATTAAATTTAACCCACTCAATTCATGCAACTGAATGTCATGCTGCTGAATTCTGCACACTGAATATTATCATCCCCTGCAGCAAACTAAGTCAAAACAAAAAGTGCATAACAGAGAGAAGATGCTTCCACTCCTTATCGCCTTCTCTCAAGATGATGCCCCAGAATTTAATATAAGGAATGCGAAAGATAAAGATGATTTTTTAAAATAGAAAACACAGTTAAAGATTGCTGTTTTTCTATGATATAGGAGAGAGAAAAACAGGGTGGATATTAAGGGGAAAAATGTAAAGATATGTTTTAGCTCTTTAATGTCTGGGGCATAGGTTACTAATCTTTTGCAGGCCAGAAACAGGACAGCCTTTCTTCATTAGCGAGCAGGATTAGCATGCAACTGTCATAGGTGCACGTCTTCAATGAAGTGTTAAAACCCATCTAAAATATTTTGTCTGAATTAGTCTTGGGGGAATATGGAAGTATAACATTATCTGAGGTTAGCCCTGCTATTGGGAGCCGCTGGCACACTGACAGGCCTTTCTTGTATACCTAGGAGCCCGACCTGCCCTCGATCTCTGTTTTGAGAGGGTGAATGCAGCTGGAGACACGTATGGAAACTGTGGCAAGGGCTTGAATGGCAAATACAGGAAGTGCAGCCCCAGGTGAGGACCACAGCACTGCTCCCATTGGAAGAAGAGTGACCAAGTGATCCCAGCTCTCTCTGTCCTCTTCACTCCTACCTGGCTTGGTGTGGTTGGCCCCCAACTGGCTCTTAAACAAGCCAGTGAAAGCCTGTCTGTATCTGTTCTCTGTCTGTTGTTTGGTAATGCACTGTTCTGTTGACTCTAAGCAAGTCAAAAAGAGGAGTGGGCAGCATTGCTTCCTAGGAAGTTGATCAGGGTTGCTTTGGGAACTCTTTTAGAGCAGGGCAAGACAGCTGGATATGGTGGCATAGGCCTTTTTAAAACCAGTATTCAGAGGCAGGCGCAAGCAGATTTCTGTGAGTTTGAAGCCAGCTTGATATACAAAGTGAATTCTAGGACAGCCAGAGATGTTATACAGAGAAATTCTGTCTTTAAAAAATAAATTAAAAAAAAAAAATAAAGCAGAGCAGGAGATGTCTGTTTTGAACCATTTTTCTGCAGAGTGCTAAAATTATGCCCTGTTCTAAGACCCATGTCTGAATCACTTATTGCAGCCACTAACCCCTCTCTTCACCTACTCACCTTCCCAGCACTGTTGAAGATTCACCACATGCAAGATGCACATGCAAGTGGTTCTCAACCTTCCTAACGCTGCAACCCTTTAATACAGTTCCTCATGCTGTGGTGACCCCAACCATAAAATTATTTCCATTGCTACTTCATAACTGTAGTTTTGGTATGAGTTGTAATATAAATATTTGTTTTCTGATGATCTCAGGTGACCTCTCTGAAAGGGTCATTCCACCCCCAAAGGGGGTACGAGCCACAGTTTGAGAAACACTGGTCTAGAGCAATGTGATAATCAATGTAATAGTTAATGACTTGGAGCATTTTCCCCAAGAAGTTCTTTGGTTGAATTCTGGCCAGGGTGGGAAGTCACACTGGTGTGTAAAAAGAGTGTTTAAGGCACAGAGCTCAGAGGAAAAACTGGCAGTTGACAAGCCAATAGGTAGAGTAAGCCACAATTTGTGGGGAATAGAGGAGAGGGGGCCATGAGAAATGAGCATGGCTAGAGGAAAACAGGGTGGATTCCAAGAGGTTTAAAGGCATTGCTGGAAGAGTTTGGTCTCCTCCCATGGACACTGCAGTCAGAGGCCTTGGTGTCTGGCAGGTCAGGATAGAAAGAGGTAGTAACATGAGTCAGGGAAGCTGTGTAGGAGGGAAGATTGATGGATTGAGGTGGTGCTCAACTCCAGGAGCAATGAAGAAGGGGGAGTCAGTGAGACCAAGCTCCTAGTTGGAGTGTCTGGGTGACACTGGGTGAATGGTTGTGTGGTGAGTAGAAGGTGACAGACATGACTCAGGTCATGCAGTCATCCTTGAAGTTAGGGCATCTTAAGTTCAGCTCTTGGCCTAGGTCAGAGGCAAGGGGAGCCTTCTGGCTCTACCTCAGGTCTTTACGCTGGGGTCCAGCCCACTCTCTGGTCCTTTGCCCAAGTCTATGTAAGCCTGCTGATTTTGTAACACTGAAGCTCTGCAGCCCCAGATCTTCCCCAGCCTTTCATACTGTCTTCTCTCCTGGCCCAGGGATGCCAAGTGTGGGAAGATCCAGTGTCAGAGCACCCAGGCCCGGCCCCTGGAATCCAACGCAGTATCGATTGACACCACCATCACTTTGAATGGGAGGCGGATCCACTGTCGGGGCACCCATGTCTACCGGGGTCCTGAGGAGGAGGAAGGGGAAGGTGACATGCTGGACCCAGGCCTGGTGATGACTGGGACCAAGTGTGGTCACAACCATGTGAGTCCTTCCCCCAGCCTCCCTCAGAAACTGAGATACAGAGACAAATTGAGAAGTGTGGGGTTTGTAGGAAGGTGCTTGGCTCCCAGAGTAATAGCATCCCACCCATAGGTGCCCACCCATAGACTATGAATTAGCCATGTAAATGAACTCACCACTATCATCTGTATCATTAGCTATCACATGGAACAGAAGTAGTCTAAGGGTCAGGGAAACCCAAGGAAAATAATGCCACCCATCTCATATATTTAATTATGTTAGTGAAGTTATAAAAAACATAGGAAACCCATGGCACAATGCCCAGCACAGAGTAAGCTGCTGCTACAACCATTATTTTCAGGCATAATACTAAAATTAGTATATATTCATTCTTGGATAGTGTGTAGGCGAGATAATTCTAGACTATAAACATGTCCTGATTGTTGATCGTAACATTTTAGCAGTGTTTGCTGTGTCTTCCCTAATCACAGAGGTGATCGCAGAATTACTCACTGTCCTGCTTTTTGAGATTCTTTGTGTTTCTAGCTATAATAATATATAAGTTCAAGAGCTACCTTTTGGGGTTCCTATTCATCCTGAGTACAAAACTCCCATACCCTAAGCCTCCCCCATTCCCTGATGCCCTGCTGATGGCTGCTTTTCCTGTCTGCAGATTTGCTTCGAGGGACAGTGCAGGAACACCTCCTTCTTTGAGACTGAAGGCTGTGGGAAAAAGTGCAATGGTCACGGGGTATGTGTGCAGAGGCCTGGGTTCCTGGGTCTTGGTGTCATGAGGGCATTGCCCTATGGGAGCTCACAGCTCTCCGGGTGCTGATACAGCTGCGGCCCCTCACTCTAGGTCTGCAACAACAACCAGAACTGTCATTGCTCCCATGGCTGGGCTCCACCTTTCTGTAACACTCCAGGAGATGGCGGCAGCATTGACAGTGGTCCTTTGCCCCCCAAGAGTAAGTGTTCTGCCTTTGTGAGAGCAATGGGGACCATGGGGTATGGGTGGTTGGTTGGCAAGAACCTTCAACCTGTTGACATTGCAATATGGCATTGTTGTCTACAAATGTGTTGGGCTGTGGTCATTGGTATACAGGAATGCATGGAGCCTGTGGGACATATGTTAGATTTGCCATTGCAGAGTCCAAGTTAAGTTGGCTGCACTCTCCTGGTTCTATAGGGAAGGAGCCAAGAAAGAGAGGCCTAGTCTAGTCAGAGAAAGCCATTTGCTCCTACCATAGCTTGGTCTTAGTTGCCTTTCTGTCCTTTTACTAGGAAAGAGAGAGATCAAAGGAGACTGTAGGCCATTAGATAGTCACATTTATTTGTGGGAGTAACTAGTAACTAGTCCTTTTAGGGAAAGCAGATGTTTTTATAGTTTTAGAGAAAGTCTGGGGGACCTCTACTCCTGTGATTTTCAAACTTTGTCTTTGAATAATTGCAAAGTAGTTAAAAAAAAAAAAAAAAAGGCTAAGAATTGGGCATGGTACTTCCTGCCTGTAATCCCAGCACTCAGGAGGTTGAGGCAGGGGAATTAATGCCGTTTTTGAGGCCAATCTGTGTCACACAGTGAGTTCCAGGCCAATCTGGGCAACACAGTGAGACTCTGTCTTAAAAGACAAACTAAATAATAACATACAAGAAGGAAGAACCCAAATATGTAAAATAGGGCAAAGTGGAGCTTCACCCGATGCAAGTCTACTTTGCATATTTAAATTTAAATTTGTGGAACTGTTGAGGTGGCTTTGGAACCAACTGTGAGGTTGAGGGTTGAGGGTGAGAGTTCTAGTCCTAAGGTATCTGAACCAGCATTTTCTGGCTACTGGTCTGCATCCAGGAAAATCATGGCGCAGGCTGATTTTCTGAAAATCCATTAGCTGGAAGCTAGTGACAAATGACAGAGTCTGAACTGCATTGGAGAGAATCTCTGCAGTTGAAAGAAATGACTGTGGGGCTTTTCTAGGGAAGCCAGAGGGCCTGGCTCCTTACGCTAGTAGTAGTGCCCTAAAATCAGTTGTACAAATGAGAATCAGATGTCTGAAGAATCTAGGCTGTATGACTTTACTGTAGGCAGAATAGCCTCTAATTCTCTCACTTGTGCTGTCTTTTGGCAGGTGTGGGTCCTATGATAGCCGGGGTGTTTTCAGCCTTCTTCTTGCTAGCTGTCCTGGTACTGCTATTCCATTGTTATAGACAGAGCCACAAACTGGGCAAGCCTTCAGCCCTCCCTTTCAAGCTGCGGCAGCAGTTCAGGTAGGACAGGGTGCTATGCCCACCAGGACTTGGGGGGAGGGGTCCCTTCTAGATCACAGAACCCTTGTGGAAAAGTTGGTGGTGGTGGGTCTAATTCTGGGAAGATGTATGCAGGGGACCTGCCACCTTCATCCATTCTGCCCCTCTTTGTCACCGTGGCAGACATTGTTAGGTGATGGCTGGAAGTGATTTCTACTGAGTGTGGTTAATACTTGTGAATTCTTCTCCCTAGAAAGTACTTCCCCAATTCAAATCGGTGCATGACATAAAACCTATTTATCTTCCTTCGCCTGCTTAATTTATACCTTAGTTTTTTTGGTTGTGAGCCTAGCCTTTAACGGCTGAGCCATCTCTCCAGCCCTATATTTCTTAAAGAGCAGCAAACTCTAGCAACAGAGAAGGGATGACAAGCTAAAGTCAGTCCCTGGAATAGGTAGGCATTAACCCAAGAAGACAAATGATTAATTCATTTAGATATTGACTGAGCATATTCTCAAGAGTCCTGTTAAATGTCCTTGTGCTGAAAGGTTTTTTTTCTGCCCTGAATCCTTCTGGATCCATGCCTGTTTGGGGCAGGGAGTGAAGGTGGGGGCGGGGGTGGGATATTGCATAATGGCTAATGAATTTCTGTCTCCTTACTGAGAGGGGCTAAGGCTGATCCCTTCCTTGGGCTTCTCCCCTAGCCACATGTGTTAGGAGATGGGTTTGAGAGGGTCATCCTACTCTCTCCTGAGGAGGGTAATTAGATTTGTCAGTTGGCCTGGGCCAAAGAGCTCAGTCCACATGGCTCTGAATATCTCCCTCCTTCCTGTCCCCTATTCCTTGTTTGCAGTTGTCCCTTCAGGGTGTCTCAGAATGGTGGAACTGGCCATGCCAACCCAACTTTCAAGTTGCAGACTCCCCAGGGCAAGCGAAAGGTAAGGGCTTTGTGCCATTGGGCTTCATTGATTTCCTTTCTTAGGTTTCCTAAGACCTTCTGGGTGTCCATGGGGTTGGTAATAAAAGTCATTTTATTGGCCTGGGAGACACATCAGTTGGTTCTGTAGCCCGGGATCTGAAGGGCTGAATAAGTTAGCTTTTCTGTCCTGTCTTCAAATGAGGCTGTGGTCACCTCATTGACACACATACACAGACAGGATTCCTCATCTTAGCTGTTCCTTGTCTCCTACAGGTGGCCAACACCCCCGAAACTCTCCGGAAGCCCTCCCACCCTCCTCCCCGGCCCCCTCCAGACTACTTGCGTGTTGAATCCCCACCTGCACCATTGCCAGCACATCTGAACAAGGCGGCCAGGAGCTCCCCAGAAACTGGGGCTCGTGTAGAAAGAAAGGAGTCAGCTAGGAGGCCTCCCCCAAGCCGGCCCATGCCCCCTGCACCTAACTGCCTACTGTCCCAGGTAAATGAGTTCTCGGTAACCCTGGGCTGAGGACATTGTCCGTAGCAGGGCTCCTGCAATGAGGGACAATGGAGGCTGGGGTGATGCACTGGTTAGGTTTGACCAGTTTTTCTTTGTTCTGGTGAATCCAATGGGCTTCCAGAAGTTTAGCAGTAAGAGGAAGAAGTACCTTCCCTGGACAGTCCCTACGCCACATGATGTTTTTGTCCTATTTGATTTTCACCCATTTTGTACCCCAAATGATGTTCTTTCAGTTCCCTAAGCTCTTTTCCCCTCCAGGTCATTACAGATGCTGTTTTGCCTCACACGTACCCACGTCCCTTTGCTTGGCCAGCTCCTATTCATCCTCAGTTGTGACCTTAGATAACACTCCCCCGTGGGGGCTTTTCTTACCTTGTAGGACTGAGCTTTGTGCTCTGTCTTTCTCATTGTACCCAACCCCTACAACGTGTACCTACCAGCTGGTTCCCACTCATCGCAGAGTCTTACTAAAGGGTACACCCTGATGCCTTGCTTATCCGAGGGGGTCTCTGGGAGGTGACAGATCTAGACTGGCCCCCTCCTCTGTAGCTGGTACTTACAACTTGGAGCCATCACCCAGTGACTGGTTTGCTTAGACTGTCTACTCTGGTATAAGTTCCCCAGTGAAGACGTGGGTTTTTCTTGAGCAGTGGCCCAGCATGGTAGCTTCTAGACCTGACTGTGTGTTTGGTATTAAGGGTCTCATTTCTTTTGGCATGATCCAGAGGAGTCCCCAGGGCTTAGGCTTCTTTGATCACAACAACCACAGGGACAATAAGCATTTGGTATGATCCCTAGGGCATGGGGCAATGAGAGTTTGGCAGAGCTGAAGGTGTCAGGCTGGGTTCTGTGCTGTGAAACTGCTGTTCCTAATTTCCTGTGTGTGAGGCAGGGGTGTACAAATCCACGCGGGGGGGAGAGATTGACTCAATGCATCTCAGACTGAGCATGCCCAGACTCATTCCTACCTAGTCACTTTAAGCACTACTCCATGCCACCAAGATAGGTATGCCTCCAAATGTGCCTGCTCTCATTATATTCCGTAGTTTAGTGGATCCTCACCATGCTCTTCTGGCTTGTGGCAGATTATTCTCTTCTCTGTTAAGTCTTGGCTGTGCTTATTTGTGCGACAAGAATGAGGTTATGGTATCAAACTGGCCGCTTGTGCTGAGAGGCCCAGGGCATACGTCCTGATAAGGCTCCTATGTGGATAACAACCAGCAAGGGCTCACTTTGCAGTTTCCCAACTGTGACCTGATGCCCACACCCCACTGTCTTTCCCTGGAAGGCCTGAGTTCTGAGTTCTCTGGTGCAGTATAGGTTCCACCGTGTACCGTCCACCCCCAAGATCAGCATCCCTTGGAAAGGGGAGGGCTGACATACGTGGCTTTTGGGTCTCAGGCATTTTTTGACTTCTCTGAGCTTCAGGTTTTGCTCTGGGAAGTAATTCTTGTAGGAAAACCAACTCTGCAATGTTTTGCCTTCGGCACACTTGCCCCATGCCTATGTTGGAGTTCACTAGTGCCCCTCTCAGGCAGGCTAAGGAACTGGCTTTCCTCAAATCTCATCAGCTTGGGGGCAGGCTATGCTTGCCCCTTAAAATTTTGTTTTTCAAATCACAAAAGAAGCACGTTTGTTTAAAGAAGCTGAGTAGTGGCGTTGGAGAGATGGCTCCATGGTTACGAGTACTTGTTGCTCCTGCTGGACCTGGGTTCTGTTCCTAGCACCCACATCAGTGAGTTCCGAGGGCACCTGAACACACAGGACAGAAACTCACACATACACATAACCAAAAATAATACAAATAGCTGGGTAGGGTGGTGCACACCTTTAATCTAGGCACTTGGGAGTCTAAGACAGGTAGATTGCTGTGAGTTCAAGGCCAGCCTAATCTACACAGTGAAACAGAACAGCCAGGGCTATGTAGAAAGTCCCTGATGCAAAGCAACAATAACAACAATGGTAATAATAATCCTCTATAGTTAAACAATTGGAGTTGCACAGAAATATATATCTATTTTAGGAAGTTTGAATAGATCGTTTATTTTATGTGCTTGCTGTTGAACTGATGGCTTCCTGTGTATTAGCTGCCCAGAAAGCCTGCAATGGCTCCATGAACACTGGGCAGAGAGGGCCCCCTGGCCCTGCCTGTGTTCTAATTCTAGTCAGAGGTGGCTAGAGAGAGAAAATAAAAGCCTGGCAAATTATTTAGGTTGATAAAGGATGTGAAAAGTAACTGATTAAAATACAATGGCTTAGAGGAACCACATGCTAGGGATAAAGTTAGGTAATAGTAAGGGGAATTTTGCCTTATTGAGAAGGTGAAAAATAATCATTGTGCCATGTATAGACGACAAAAGAAAAAATAATCCAAACACCCACTTAGACCCCATCCCAGGTAGCCCTCTGTTGTCCGTTTCCTCTGGCCCTTTCCTGGCTGTCTCTGTTTATTTCTGTTGACCATAGGCAGGGGCATGGTGGTCTGTTCTGTACTCACTCCTTTGTCAGGTCCATTTCAGCTCCTCTTGTAGCTGACTGTCCTCATTAGCCCGTATCCACCTGCTTTGTTCCTTGTGCTTACTGGAGCCCATGCCACTGTCTAATTTCACATTTTTCCTCTCTCTGTGGAAACTTCTCTGCTGTTGTAAACGGTGGACAGAGAATATCCTTGTAGAGCAGCCTTGTGCACCATGCATAGTCTCTAACATGGCCAACAGGAAGTTTCACATCGGAAAATGGTCATTTAATTATCTGCTTATTTATTTATTTTAGATTTGAGACAGGCTCTCATATATATCCCTGGCAGGCCCAGAATACTATGTAGAGCAGCCTGGCCTTGAATTCACAGAAATCCACCTGCTTCTATGTCCTGAGTGCTTGAATTACAAGTGTACACATCATGCCATGGCCCTATCTGTAATTTTAATAGATAGAGCCAATTTGTTTTTCAAACAGTTCTTATTTTTTTTCTTAGCATGTAAATATATTATACCCCCCCACACACACATGCAAGTTCTTTAAAAATGAGGCCATCTAGTATGTATATTATTTGCTTTTGATCCATAAGATGTTAGGTATATTTTCTTTTGAAAGGAGCCCCTCAAACGAGGCATTTTGCTTCCTCCAGGATTTCTCTCGGCCTCGACCACCCCAGAAGGCACTTCCAGCAAACCCTGTGCCAGGCCACAGGAATGTCCCCAGGCCAGAAGGTGCATCCCTGCTGCAGTCATCTACTGTTGGTCCTCAGCCTCCCCGGCCTCCCACAGTATCTGTTCCAAAGGTGAGTCCACAGAAGGACCCAGAAATACCAGCAGGGGAAGTGTGTGGCTGAGAACCCTGAGCTAAGCTTCTACAACAGAAGCAGGAACAAGGCCTTGCTTGGGGGACTGTTTGGCTAGACCTTACATGAGCGAAGTGTGATTTGCCTTCATTTGAGAGTGAAGGCATTACTGTCAGTTAGATGCTTGAGTTCTGGTGGCTTCCAACTACCTCAGCACCTGAACAGCTAGGCTACCTTGAGTGAGTCCTTGTCTTGATAAGAAGGCTTAAGATGGGCTAGCAAGGTGATTCAGCCAGAAAGGTCATTTTGAAAAAGGCGTAAGAATCAGTAGGGACCAGCTTCATAATGTTGCCATGAAGTAAAGTCATTAGTTTACATAAGCCTGTCCGCTTATGTCCCTTTCCTTAATGTATCTCTATGGTGCCATGTTCTTAGCTTAGTCTGAGGAGTTGGGTCAGAAGGAGTGAGGCAAGAAGGCCAGTCGTCATACCCACATTCCCATAAAGCACTGGGAAACTATTGTGCTGAAGCTTGACGAAAGGGGGCGCGTTCTAGCTTTGGGGGTGGGCACACATCTTGCTCTCACTGCGCAGGCTGCTGGCCCTGGAAAGCAGCACAGGAACACACTTCTGTGACTGTCAAAGGCAAGAGGACAGTTGCCCAGTCACGCTGACCAGCACTGAGGTCACATCTTTCCATTCCTTTTTCCTTCCAGCTTCCCGAGTACAGATCACAGAGGGCTGGAGGAATAACTAGCTCCAAGATCTAGAACTGTCCAGAAGTTTCTTGTTTCCCTTGAAGACTCTGGATGCCATGGAAGGTCCACAAGAAAGAAGCCTGCTCGGCCACCTTGAAGCTTCTCTAGCCTCCTGGAACCCCCTCATCTCCAGAATCTCCCTTCTTACCCCAGTGCCTCCTGTGTTCTCTGAGGCCAAGAGGGGCTTCTGCATGCTGTCCTGTGCAATATACAGCTCTGGTAGGAAAGGGGAGCAGATGGCGGAAGATGGGGAAGATTCTCCTTCAGCCACCTAGCCAAGAGCTACCAGTGATGGTCAGGGAAGTCTTGAGCTGGGGGTGGGGGTGGAGGTCCTCCTTCCGTGCCGAGCTTGGAGAAGGCTCCACCCAGGTCCAATGCTGGCAGGTACACACGAGGGCTTCTGTTGTTTGACCTCTCTCTGGGATCCCCAGGCTACGCTACACAGAGGCTGGGTCTTACCTGTCTCTTAGCTTTTAGGGACTGAGGAAGCCACTGCTGCCTCCCCACCCCAGGACTTGGTCAAGGTGCCTGTTTCTGGTTATGGCTGCATGTGACAAGCCATGCTCCCTTCCCCTGCCATCCCTCACATTCCCATATTTACACGGGTCACTCTCTGACTCAGACAGGTACTATTTGTAGGCAGTGTAGACAACAGTGGGGCGTGGTCAGCCCGTGTCCCCTCTGAGCCATGATGCCAAAGGTTGCTAGACTCTCAGAATCCCCTGTTCTACATCCCCATTGTTCCATGTGTCACCTTCTCTCTTCCAGCCTCTCTGTCCTATGGTGCTTTGATGGTGTCCCACAGCAGGTCCTGACTTGCTGGTGACCATATGCCTGTGACCAACAAATCAGGGTCCTGCCTCATGGGGTAGGCACTGGACTTTCTGCACTGGATCTCAAGAGCATTGAGCTGAGTGGGTTTGGGAGAGAGAGAGAGAGAGAGAGAGAGAGAGAGAGAGAGAGAGAGAGAGAGAGAGAGAGAGAGAGAGCTCTGCATGTACTTGTGTATTTTGGCTGCAAGTAGGAAACAGGGCCCCCTTCTTTTTTTCTGACCTACATCCTAGGTGAAGATCTCCAGGCAGGGCAGCCACAGGTATACTGAGGGGATAGACATGTCTGGGAGCTGTTATTAGGAAAGTATTCACAGGGGCACCAGCCCTTTCCTAGTGGTTAGCTCTGAGGCGGGACTGTTGACTCTGGACAGGTAGGTAGCCAGCTTCTTTGGAACATGGCTCAACAACCATGGTGAACCAGATCAGGGCAGGGGCCCCACCTCTCTTCAACCAGGGTCTTATCATGTGCTTGCATTGGTTCTCTCCTGGTTACTGCCTATATGGGGTCCTCACGGGAAGAGCTCTGGGAAGGCATCTTGGTGCTCTGCTAGTTAGTGTAGTTCCTACATAATTGCTGGGCTTGGCCTCTGAGAGCCCATCTTCCATCCCCAAAAAGGTGCTGACTACCATGCCAGAAGGTCCTCTAGAGGCCTCCCTGCCACCACAGCAAGCAGTTGTTAGCTCTTGGAAACCTCTCTGAGGAGGAGGCAAGCCTTTGACTCCTGCTTGCCACCTCAAGGCCTCCTGACATTTCTTTGCAGAGTGACTGCCAGTGTCATGCATGCTTGTGGGATTGTGGACAGTGGGGGGTGCATGTCTGGGAGGTAGAAAGATCTCAGGAAACCACCTTTCTCCTTGGAGTGACTGTGCGACTGTGCTGTTCACACTCTGACTCCCTGAGATGTGATGCAAAAGGTCACATGGGCCTAGGTCCCTTTTCTGCCACCTGACAGCTTTTCATTTAAGCGCTACACCAAATGCCTAGTCCTAAAAACACCCTGTTGCCACAAAAACAAAACAAAACAAAACAAATCACTTCCCTTAAACCCAACCCTGTACCTCCTAGATGTTCTTGTGGGCCGTGCAGCCTTTCTCCCTCAGCTCAGGAGGCAGTGGCCCTGAGTGACAGTGCCACAGCAGCAGTACCAGCATGAGCCTTGTGAACCTCAAGCCTTTGTCCCTTCACCCATAGCAGAAGAAGACCCATTCCCTTGCCCTTTGGTAATCATTTCCTTTTTATTTTTCCTTTTCATTGCTATGATACCACCTCCATCCATAAAATTATACTGTGAAATACTATGAATAAGAAGATGGCAAAACAATTTTTTTTTTAATTTGGTAGACATGTTGGCAGCTACTCTACTTACAACTTCATTCCTGCCTGTTATCCAAAAGCTGCGGAGGCTGCCACAAGTAGGAACCCCTTCCCTTCTGCACCGTGAAGTGTCCTGTGCAGATACATCTAGACTTGGAGGGTAGAGTTTATCTCAAAGGATTGTTTGCCACTTAGGAGGGGAAAGAGAATATTACCACAGGGAGAGGAGAGGATGGTTACAACAGAACACTTCAGTCAACCTACCCCATCTGTGGGCATCCAAGGCTCCAACAGCCTTTTCTTGTGCATAGAGTGAGCAGGATTAGAAATAGCTGTTCTATGCCCAGTCACTATAGAGATGCTTGCCAACACTGGGGTTGGTCAAAACCAAGGCTCTGGTGGACTGACGGAAGTTCAGAGTTCAGTTTGTAGCTGGGTGTGATGGCACATGCCTTTAGTCCCAACAAAGGCAGATGATCTCTGAGTTCAAGGCCAGCCTGGTCTACAAAGTGAGTTCAAGGCCAGTCTGGTTTACAAAATGCGTTCCAGGACAGCTAGGGTCACACAGAGAAACCCTGTTTCCAAAACCAAAATTATTTGAGACAGGATCTCATATATCCCAGGTTGGCTTTCAATTCATTAAAAGGGCAAGGATGACTTTAGAATTCCTGAGTGTTTTCCTCTTACCGAGTGCTAAGACTACAAGTATGTGCCACCACACTTGGTTTATGTGGTCCTGGGTTCAAATCCAGATCTTCATGCATGCCTATGCAAACACTCTACCAACTGAGATACATCCCCAGTCCAGGCTATAAATGTTCAGAGAAGCTAAATTAGCTGCCCGCCAACTTTAGAACCCTAAAGCCATTTCTGACCTGTAAACCTCAGGTCTCTAGTCCCTTCCAAGTTGCAACTTCCTGCTTGCTTTCTGTTCCTTTTAGCCTTGGTGACTTCCACCTGTAAGAGAAAAAGCCCTTTCCTATCCCTGCTTCAAAACTTTGTAGATTTTAAGGTCTGAATATTCTCTGCCGTGCAACAGTTCCTGTCACTCTGCAGTAAACCTTTTCCACAGTGTCTCCCCTAGGTTCAGTTCATTTGCTTATTTGACAAGGCAGGTTCGAGACTTACATTCTTCAGATTGGAGGCATATTCTAAAGCTAGTTATTTTGTGAAATGCATGTAGTGACAGGCCCCAAAGGACTCCACACCCAAGCCAGGGAACACGAACTGGAAAGGTACCCCTTCTCTAGGGACGCCAACTAGAGGTTGTAGACTCCAAGCCCAACACCCCAGCGTCATGCCCCCAGTGTCCTCTTGTATGACTGTGTGTACGCCTGTGTCTGGGATCCAGGGCAAATGTGAATTTTCTTTTTATTTGGGAGATTGTTCACAGGAAATAGTCCTCTCCCCTCTTGTCCTCCTATTGATTGTTTACAATATTTGTACATCTATGCAAAAATACTTGAATGGGCCGTGGTGCCTTGTTTTGTTATTTTTTGTTTGTTTTTTTCTCCTTGTTTGTATTTAATTAAAACAGATTGTCATTGGAAAACATGCACCATCTGGACAGCTCTTTTGTGTGTGTGCTGTGTCAGTATTCCACTGCTTGGACCACTTAGGACACGTGATTTGTACTTCTCAGCAAGAGATCCCCCAGAGACCACCAGTCTTCCTGTGAGGCAATGACCTGAACCATAGTGAAGCTCAGGTTTCCCCATGTCCAGGAGAGAGGGTTGCTTGCTGTTTCTGTGCAGAAGATGGTCTGGCTTCATTAGATTTTGGGTCATCAAAGGCATTAATGATCTTGAGATTCTAGTACACTCTTCAATACTATTGCCTTTAAAAGGCAGCTGAGATGCTCTGTTGCCATCTCTCCTTACTAGTGGGAGTGTTTGAATGAAGCAGGGAGACTTAGTGAGGGTCTCTCGGGCTGCATGGACAGGCTCCGGCGAGCCAGGTTGTGTGCACTTATGATTCCCAGGGCTTGTGTGAAAACAGCACATACTGATGGTGCCTCCCGCCAGAGGAATATTCACTGAGGGATTAGCCCATGCAAGATGCTTTGGAATATTTTCCTTCATGTGGGTTACTGTGGTGGTCTGAACAAAACTGGCCCCCATGGACTCGTGGACTGACTGGCATTATTGGAGGTGTGGCCTTATTGGAGTAGGTGTGGCCTTCTTGGAGGAAGTTCGTCATCAATAGGGGCAGACTTTGAAGTTTCAAGCTCAGTGGCTCACTCTCTCTTCTTACTGCCTATGGATCCAGATGTAGAGCTCTTGGTTCCATGTCTGCCTGCAAGCAACCATGCTTCCCACTCTGATGATAATGGACTGAGCCTCTGAACTATAAGCCAGTCCAATGAAATGTTTTCCTTATAGAAGTTGCCATGGTCATGGTGTCTCTTCCTAGCAATAGAAACCTTAACTAAGGTGTAGTCATCAGAAGCATCCATTCCAACAGCAACCTTCCTACTTGAGTGAAGACAGATATGTGAAAGACATGGGAGATCAGGGACTGGCCTCCCAGCATATTAGAGGGACCCTAGTGCTGTGAATGTGCTCCCTGTTCAAGGAAGATCAAGACATTCGTCAAGTAAACACACTCTGAAGTCTTTATTCTTGACCCCAGAGCCCATGCTCTCAAAACCCTTAGCTTACTGCCATACCCACGGTCCAATGTGTTGCATTGATTTCAGTTACAGTCAGAAATCCACATTCATTAAAGTACTGGGATTGGAAATGGAAGGTCCAGGGGCCCAGAGTGTTGATTTGCCCTAAGAGCTTGCCCAAGGCTAGAAGGGGTTTGACATGGGTGTGGTTGCACTTAGGGGGATCAGATATGAACACAGCAAATAGGCAGGGAGATTGACAAACACTACCTGCACTGCAGATCACTGTCCCACAGACTGGCTTCTAATTTCACTCTTTTGTGGTCCTTCCTTTCACAGCTAGAAGAAACTGGAGAAAAAAAAAGGATCCCAATTCTCTCTTTAGCTGCTGTTACATGCATGCCTCTGGCCAAATGTGAGGTCATCAAAGATGGCCCCCAGAGCAAGTGATGGAGGAGGAGTCCTGGCATGCTTCTTCCTGAACAGCTAGTATGTCAGTGGAGACTGACTAAGTCTTAGTTGGGTCAACAAGGCTGTACCAATCCCACACTCCCATTTCCTTACTGACATTCAAAGCCAACCCTACTAGCTATGGCTCAGAAATTTTCCCACACCTTTTTGGGCCTGGATTCTTGTTTGGGTCTTAGAGTCAGCCCAAAAGTTACTTCCAGGTTTCCAGAGAGCCCATGACTCCATCCTGCCAATCTTGACATTGTCCCTCATATTCTCCCCCACCTTCCCAAGTCATATTATAGTCAACTTCTTGATGAAATGGAAATCACATTCTGCTGAATTCCAGAGTAACAGCAAAATGTTGTTCTCTTCCCAGAGAAGGCTAGGAGTTTGGCCCTCAGAGCTGGCCTAGGAGGCATCCCCTGCTGTTGTTGAATTCTATGGTTACAGTGTGCATGTGTCGATGACTGGTGCCTTGGAGTGGATAGAGAGAGTGAAGAGGGGTAGTGATGCTTGGGACATGGGCAGCAAGATGTGACCTCCAGGCTAGAGTGCTTGGAGAATGAACTAGTTGAAACTTCCCTGAGACATCAGGTGGCTTTCACAGTAAGAAGGTCAGCTGGGGTCTTGCTCCTATCTCCAGGAAACACCAGGCTACCTGGCACCAAAATGTGTACCTTGGGATGGTGAGGGGCCCAGATTGCTCTGCAATCCTCCACAAACTCCCTTCTTGGGCTAAGGGCTGAGAAGTCCAGCTTGACAGGCCAATTGGTGCGAAGGATTTCCTGACATCTGATATCTGAGGGCAGTTCTTGAACTGGGCTACATTCAGCAGGTCAAATTCTATCTTCTCCCCCAACAACATAGAGATGGTGCTGAGGGAAACAGAAGGAGCAGGCTCTGGGGACTTGCTGGCTCCAACAGAAACTGGTGGATTTAGTCACCAAGGCTGTATCTCTAGGAAGTCCTGCCACCTACCTTATTGGGTAGGGATTTCTTTCTTCTTCTTCTAGAAATAGCAGTGAGGTATAAATGAATATCTCCAAAAAAGATAGCCCTTGACAACAGATGTACTGAAAGTAACCTGGTAGTTTTGAACTTGAGAGGTCAGGCTGGACCATTGGGCATCTATATGTTCTTATTCATGTGTTCAAGGCCTTAAGAATGGATCATAAATACTTTGGGTTTCTGTTGTGGTGATGGTGTGCTGGCAAGTTCTATGTTGTCCACAAGGACATTCTTATCTTCTAGTTTAATGACGGTGGGCTCTGGGGCGGGAGCTGGAGTTGTGTTTTTGTGCGTGTGTGGCAAGCTGATCTGGTTGATGTCCAAATCTTTGAAAGCATGAAGCATGAAAACACCCAAGATGATGGTGACAAAGCCAGACAGGGTGCCCACGATGTCCACAGCCGACATGGTATACCACTCCTTGAAGAGGACAATGGAAGAGAGCACTACCACCGTGGTGAAGAAAACGTAGTAGATGGGGAAGACCAGGGAGGTGTTAAAAATATCCAGTGCCCTGTTGAGGAAGTTGACCTGAATGATGATGGAAAGTCCCAGGATGAGGGACAGGATATAGGGCAGGGGGTGGCGCACAACTGGTAAGCCCTGGAAGAAGTTCCTGATGGTGACACCCAGACCCTTGACAGCAGTCACGGAGAAGGAGCCAATCACAGAGCAGATGATAATGTAAATGAGAATGTTCCTTTGCCCATAACGCGGGGCAACAATGAAGATAAGGATGAGGCAGAACACCACCAGGAGGACCGCAAACACGACGAAGCCTTCAGGGAGGAGGGGCATAAGTCATTCAGTGAAGGATGCAGACGGTATCCAGGGCCTAAGACTTATACTCTCACATGTGGGTTCTAGTCTCAGCTTCATACTAACTCATGTAAGTTTTTAAACTCTAAGACCCTAGTTTAGTTGCTTGTAGTTAAAAAAAAAAAAAAAAAAGGATCAAAAGTGGGATTTTCCTCCTTGTAGGGCTGCTTTATGAAATAATGCACATTCTTACATAAAATGTTTTTTATGTATAATAAGAATGTGTGCATTTAGAGAAGTGCTCCTCACACAATGAACAATAAACGGTCTAGTTTACATAGATCCAGGAAGCCTGGCTAAAGGGTACTACCCAACTTCCTTCCTGTTGTTCACCTTTTCCTCAAGGGGGCAGCACAGAGATGGATAGAGCCCAATTAGATGGTCTATACACAATTCCTCCCCTAGTGTTTTCTGCAAGCCCAGTGCTTGAAGCTTACCTGTGTCTTTCATTTTGGAAGCCATCTCCACAACAGTAGTGACCTTCTCCTCCTTGGGGGCATGTATGACCATCACTGTGCTGCCAGCCATACAGATGACACAGCCCAGCTTCCCCAGCAGATTCAGGCTCTCTCCCAGGAAATAGGAGGAGAAGATGGCACTGTACAGGGGCATGGGAGAAATGGATTGAGCGGAGGTGCCTATTCCAGCCCCCCAAAAGACACATGGAGGCTAAGTAAACATTTATGGGGGAACAACAGTCCAAAACACACCCCTTTCTGTAGAAACCTCTCTAAATTCTTCCATCCAACCCCAAACTTTCAGAAGTAGAAATGTATTTCTAGGGGGGTTGGAATGTGTGCTGGAGAAGCAGAAATACATGTAGATCTCTTTTATTTTTGAAATGAAAACCATTCACAAACCAAAGGGTTGTGTCCCAGTTGGTTTATTGTCAACTTGACAAAATCTAGAGTCATCTGAGAAGTGATCTCAGATGAGCAAATGCCCCCATCAGATTGGTCTGTTGACAAGCCTGCAGGACATTTCCTTGACTGATGATGGATGTGGGTGAGTATAGACCACTGTGGGCAGTATCTTTCTTGGGCAGTGTCATCCTGGGGTGTATAAGAAAGCAAACTGAGCAAGCCAGGAGGAACAAACTTCAATGTGGCTTCTGCTTCAGTTTCTGCCTCTAAGTTCCTGGCTTGAGTTCCTGCCTTGGCTTTCTCCCATTATGGACTGCAATTTGTAAGCCCAATAAACCCTTTCCTCCCCAAGTTGCTTTTGGTCATGGTACCTCATCACAGCAATAGCAAACTAAGACAAGTTAAAAGAGCCTTTAAAACTACTCTTGTCTGACTCCCTACAAACTGAATGCCCTGTGGTATTGCTAGGAGATGTTTTTCAACCACGGCTTGTATGCATCTGGCAGCAGGGAACAAGCCAAATGAGTACATTGCAGGGTCACACTACTTACTTATCCCAAATGCATTTTCTGGTACTTTCTGTCCCTTGCCACATTTCTGTTCCTTGGGTCATAAAGAATGAATCTATTCCTCTTTCACTTGCATATGTCAATATAAACTACCACAATGATAATTATAGATACTATGTCTTGTGGGCATGTATTTCCTAATAGGTACTGCATCAGAATTAATTTGACAACTTTGTGAATTAACATATACTGCTCCTGATTTACAGATGAGAAAATTGAGCTCATAGAA